GTTGTTATGGATAATAATGGCACCACTGTGAGTCTGAACGGCACATTTACTCCAATAATCCCGGACTGACTGAATTAACGGGTCAAGAGTTCACAGACGAGTCAAACTCTGTAAAAACTGAGGGACTTTTTTAATGTTTTAAAGTTTTATCTAGGAGCGTGATCAGGTGATCAGACAGCTGCTTGTTTCAGAGTGTGTCACATCGTCACGGCTGGTGTGTTAATTAGGATAATTAAAGATCAGACTCAGATCAGACCTGCTCCTTGTTATTATGGATAAAGAAACTGGATTCAACCCATAATTCATATTTAGTAGTTTGGAGTAAATCCTGATTATTGACTTCTCTGTGTTCCCCAGTCCAGCAGGATCCTCTCTTTCTCTGTGGAGTCTGCAGGTTCTCTGAGCATGCTCAGGTTCTCCAGGGTTAGGGTTTAGGGTTCAATAGTGACTCCAAGTACCTCTGCAGGCCTGAGTGTAGTGGGTTGAACCTGCCCAGGGTGGATCCGTCCTCCTGCAGGAATAAAGTCCAGCCCCCTGCTGCCCCTGAATGAATGGATGGATGGAAATATAGAGCTAATGCAGTTAACTTTGACTCATATATGCTGCAAAAACATGACTTTATATATCTTAAAGCAGCAGAATTAATCAATAGGAAATGTTTGAAGATAAAGAAAAGTGATTATTTCATTTATTAGACAAATTTATTCTGATATTCAGAGTTTATTTTAATGATAGTACTTTAACACTGCTGCAGTAAACTTTAAAATGTTGTCATGGCATTCTTGGTCATATTAATCATTGAGCTCTTCTTTAATTGGTAGTATGAGTAGTGCTCGAATGTGAAGTTGAATATTTCTCAGTAATTTTTGACAATTTCTTTTATTTCTCTGTGTGTTTGGACTCTCACTTTTTTATTTCTGAGTGTTTAGACTCTCACTTTTTTATTTCTTCGTGTGTTTGGACTCTCACTTTTTTATTTCTGAGTGTTTGGACTCTCACTTTTTTATTTTAGTGAGTTCGGACTCTCACTTTTTCCGCTGTGTTTCCAAACCCTCTTATTAACGCAACTCCGCCTCAGTTAAGGACCGCTTCACTTCCTCATCTGCTGCTTTCATTGTCTTGAAACTTTCACATCATCATTATCATCATGACAGGCGCTGAAATTATCGCCGTCATAATCTCCTAAATGAGGAAGAAGCTGAAAGAGCGAGCTGCACCTCCAACGTCTCTGCAGCTTCTCTCCTTCAGACACTTGTTGAGTTATGTCGCTCTGCCTCCCTTTTCTTCGTCTCTCAGGCCCCCCTCCTCTCGATGCATTACGACAGCGGAGGAGAGATCTTCTCTAACAGCCGATCAAACACCCTCACAGATACTAGCTCACGGCGGCGGAGACGTCACAGCTTTGAGGTCTGTTCATCTCTCAGAGCGCCGCAGACACACTGACCCCCTCCTTCGGGGTGATTTGTTGAACACAGTTAGTTTTTCAAAGCGTTAAATATTGGACTAAATCTGCACAGGCCGGGTTGGTTTATGGGTTGCCCTGTCTCCTGGGTTGCCAACAGGGACGTAAAGGACAGCTTTGAGTGGAGGACGGGGGGGCTGACATTAAATACAGGCCAGATGGACTTTCTCCTATCCTGCTCATAAAAGTCCCAGGGACAGTTCACAAATCACGGCCTCTCAGTATTATGTTAAGCGTTTGGATTGTTATTGTTATTGTACATTTGCAAATACTAACCTAATTTATGGCGTTTTCAGGCATAATTCGAGACTCAACCCACCCAGTTATTTAATATGTGAGCGTCTAACAGTTAATATCGGGGTGATGAAGTGTCCGCAGCTTTTACTGCCTTCCATGGAAACAGGCTATCATAACTCTGACAACTTCTCATCCAACAGGGATTAAAAAGGCGAGCATTTGGACGAGTGCGGCTTCATTAACCGCCGCGTTCGGAGGAGAAACTCTGAGGGTGAAATATCTCAAACAGGTTTACGGTAAAGGCAGGAGAAGAGGGAGAAACACAAAAGTGAAATTCAAGATGCTAAGCTAAAGCGGAAAAGCTGCAGCTCTCAGGGGGTCGGCTGTCTTTCCGGAGGAGAGGGAAAGTGGACCCTGTGGTGGAGCGAGTCTGTGGTGGTCCGGGTTTGTGGGTCACTCACTATGATGTTTCTGCTAACATGACAAAAAACACCTCAGGGTTTCCTCACAGAGATTTAATACCCTCAAGTACAAACAGAAGAAATGTCTTTATTTTAATACTTTAATATATTTACATTTACTCTGAAGTACCTGAGCGTGAAAACTCAGCAGCTGAACTTCAGGAGTTACTCTGTTTACTCTAATTTCTTTATTTATGTGTCGTTCTTTAGTCGAGGTGATTTTACAGACTCATTTTAAAAACAATGATCATAAATAATTATAAATTACACACGTGACTCAGAGTTCATAAATATATGGATTAAATCTGAATTTTTTCATGAACTCTGAAACCAAACACACACTTTGACCTCACTTCCTTTTCGCTTTTAATTTAATAAATGTTAATTAGAGTCGTCTCTTATACAAGCTTTTATTTAGATTAGAGTTTAAATTGTCAGTTTAGTCAGATAATCCTCCTATAGGTAAAAGATTAAATCAAAAATGCTGTTTAAATACACAGAGGACCTATCATGTATAACTGTACTTCATCATGCAGATTAAACCTCATTTCACTAAAGATATTTCTGATTCAGGATTCACACGTAAACATCTCTGACATAGAAGCATGGCTAAAATATGACATCCCCGTTTCCTCATATTACAGTTTAATATGATGAGTATTTGTACTAATAACAGGATTTCACTGACGGAGCAGTAAATACATGTTGAATTAATGTAACAGAGCTGAGAACGGAGACTCGAGTCAAACATGATCCCTGAAACTGAAAAATCACGTCTGTGTTTCAACCCTTGATTCCTCGTCTGTGGACGTTTCTGATTTTTATTAAAATCATAAAATTTAAATATCTATATCATCTGTTAACTGTATCTATACATTTTAGCCATAAATTACCTCTTACAGTTTAAGCATATAACAGCATTGAGACATTAATGAAGAGTTAAAATGATTAAAAATGAGGGGAAAAGGCAGACGCCCTCTTTTCTGTCTGATATCCTCTGTCTGCACTTATTTGGTTTTTTGACGCTTTAGGAGTTTCAAAAATCCCGACTGAACCAAGTCCGGTTCTTCAAAAGTCTTTGTGTTTTTCATGTAAAATGAAAGGAGTCCAGTGATTTTTTTTTTCATTCCTCTCATCATATAAAATTGACCTGACAAACTCCTTTTACTTCTCACTCTTGATCACTCACAGTAAACCTTCAAAGTCGCCGTCTCTCACTGTAAGAAAACCTGTGAGTATTTCTTGTCACTGTCCTTTTCCTCTGAGGTGTTTCTGTAATCTCACTTTCTACTTCTGGTTTCAGGAGGAGGATGTATCCTGCAGCTTACATGTTTGTTTATTTGATGTTTAGTGAAACCTGATGTGAGCTCTACTATATCATCAACAAACACAGTGAGGGTGAGGCGGATCAGTTACAGATGAAGCTCAAATGGGTGTCTAATATTCAGATGTAGTGATATATACAGTTTATAAAGTCTGTGCATACACACCTAAGTAAACCTCACGTCTCTCTGTTGTAACCAGGCTGCAGCTGCGTTTAAAAGCTCTTATTCAGCAGGATTTTTTCATATTTTTTACACAAAGGAAACTTTTCTGATGACTCCATAAAAGTTTGATCCTCGCTCGAAGAGTCAAAGTGAGTCATTTTCTTTATAAAGTCCAAGGATGGATTTGGTTTTCTGCAAAGCTCTTATTAAAATAATTACTTGGACAGACAGGTACAGTTTTAATTTGAGGGCAGTGAGTTATTACTGCAGGTTTTACTGTGGAATATTCTCTCCACTTCTTCCATCTTATCGTTTTTTAACAGTGACCATTAAAACCGTGAAAAAGCTGATTGAGAGAATAGACTCGGAAACACCTCACAGGTCGCTCTCTGATAATAAAAGTGAGCAGGTCTGAGCTCCTCTGTAGAGCAAAGTTACGAGCAGCTCAATAAACAGAGGACATGTTGATTGTATCTGTGTCTGGATACATGAAATATACTCATCCGGGGTATCTGGAGCCACGAAATGTACACAAACTATAAATTATACCCCCTTTTTTCCCCTCCTTCTCTCTCACTTTCTCTGTGCTTGGAAAAGAAAAGTCCAACAAGATTGTAATTTCATTTCTCCAATTCGGCCATTATGACCCCAGGAAAAAAAGGTTTCTAGTGGAAATCTGATAAATTATATAGTTATATTTATATTATATTAATTTATTTCCAGGCAAACTTCTGTATCACTGCAATAATATAATGCAAAAACCTCACAATGAAACCGTCCTAGGACCTTTAGTTACCTTCAGTTTTCCACTTAAAACATTATTTGTTTTTTTATTTACGTTGTTGGACATCAATGCTACTTCTCCCTGGATTACTGCTTTTTTCATACTTTAGAATTTTATTTTCCTGTTTAATGCAAAATAAATAAATAAAAAAACATTAAAATGTAATAGGAATCATTTTTAAAATTAAAGTTAAATCTGTTTATAGCTTCTCTGTTAAATCAACAAAATATGCAGGAGTGTCTGTTACTTCAATAATGTTTCTTAAATTACTTAAAAGTGCAAAACTACACCCCTAATTATTTATGAATCATGTGTAATATCAATATCATCATCACATCCATACCTGTTTTTTCTTTCTCTTTTATATTTTTCTAATACTGGTCCTTTTTAAAATAATTTCACGGTAGTTCTTTATCTTATTTATTTGTTTTTTGTACCTGTTATGAATGTGTATGTTGTGTGTACCGCTGCTGTTAGCGCCTTAATTCCCCCACTGAGGGATCAATAAAGGAAAATCTAATCTAATCTAACCTAATGGGTTTAATCGCATAGGAATAATAAATAAAATCCAAGTTTTTTTTATGTAAGAAACATTTTATTTACAATATTTTCAGTGCAAATAATTATTAACATAATAGCACAATTATATACCCCACCCAAAAAAGACCAAAATAATACACGGACACATAAAATCGAGTGGTTTATAACCTTCAAAATAAAATTCACAACCGAAGATTTACGAAAAATGAGGCACGTGAGAGCACGTGACAGGAAACCGGCGCAGATGATTGGCTAAGAGCGATAACGTGTCTTGTTTAATTATTATTGAGAAATCCCCCTGTTCGTATTAAAAATAAAAAATGTTGAATGAAGTTTAAAGTAATTAAAATCTTTAACATTTAACAGGAGGATATTTTCCTTTTACCAATGTGTCGAAGTTCGTCTCCGTGATTTTCAGAGCAGGCCGTAACTTCAGGTTTCCTGTCACTCCAGGTGTGTTTACTCGCCTCTTCCGCCTCCCTTTCACAATAAAAAACCTCCTGGTCCATCCTCCAAACTGTCCCTCATATGAGGATCTGAGAGGCCGGAGTGTCCGTGAGTGTGGCCGCTCCCTCCGCGCTGCTCCCCGGCGCGCTCCCGCTCATGATCACGCTGGTTTTGTGGAGCTCCGAAACGTCCGAGTGTCCGTCTGAGTTCTCCTCCGGAGCCTCGTCGGACTCACACTCGCTCCTGCCGTCGCTCTCACACTCGCAGTCGGACTCAGCGGGCTCCTGCGGCTCCCTGCTGCCCGGCTCCGAGGCGCTCTTGTCGGGCTGCTCCTTCTCCTTGTCCTTCTGGGCCTGCGCCTCTTTGGAGTGTCTCCACTTCATGCGTCTGTTCTGGAACCACACCTTCACCTGAAATCACACACCAGGAACCTCTTATTAACCTGACACTGTGGGCTGGTTTAACCAAAACAAAACACACTCAATTCTCTTTATTATTCCCTGAATATTTGCCATTAAAATCAGGAGGACATGAGCTAAAACCAACACCTTTTAACATTTAGGATTAAATGCTTCTGAAGCAACATTTCTCCAACTCGGTATCTACTCTTCTCAGTCATTAAAGTAAAAATTAAACACATGTAACACAGTTTACACCAGTTAAAATACACAGACCCTGATTTTATTTAAAGTTTCTACATTTTTATAAGAGACTGGGCCAGTAAAGTCAGGTAAATTCAGTGTAAATGTAAGATGACAGAGGAAATGCATCCAGAGTTCAATGAGACAGAAAAATCAGATATTATGGAAGTTAAATGAAGTAAACGTTAAGAGTGTTTTAGTGATGAACTTGCTGATGTTGCTCAGGGTGTGGTGAAAACAGGCGAACACTGGGACGCCTCCCAGCCTGCTCTGTGTAATATCCTGACTTTAACATCATTAATTTGTTTTAATAAAGAAGTTTAAGTAAAATGAACAAGAATTTAACAGATAAGTGACAAAAATGATTAAGCTGTGTGTGTATCAATAACCACAGTGCTGTATGTAAACACAACTCTGAATCTTATATAATTTCATTGGATTTTTCCAATTTTTATTTCACTCTTTGTTCATTTTTGTATTTTTCGAGAATATCACTAATTTAAGATTCCTCAGTTAGAATTATAGATACGCAGGTTTGTATTTTTATTTGATTTTAGACAGAAAAAAAGGAGCAACACAGCTGAATGTCACCAGAATGGCCAAGACAGGGTTAATAAAGTTAATAAAAGAACATAAATGAGGGAGAAAAAGCTTTAAAATTAGAAATTATCCAGCAATAACAAACATTACAGCTTCATTTTAGCATGAACGATAAGTTCCCAACCCTAATCCTTCACTCATGTGTTTTTAGTTTTTAATCAAGACCAAAAAAAAGCACATTTAAGATCCACTGAAAGGAACAGAAATCAAAAATCTTGTTGGACCTTATAATAACTGAATAATTAAAAATATGCTTACTTTATAGCCAACACATGTTTACACCAACATACACCAACAAGTGTGCATCAAACCCAGAATTTACGACCACACAAACTGAATATAATCTATAATAATCTGAGATCAATCAAGGTCACAGTTTGGAAGATAAGACCTCTCTGTAGAAGACAAAAGTTAGTGTCTGTCGTCTCTCCTCCTTCTCCTAAAAGTCCCTGAATCCTGGTCTCCAGATGTGAACATCAGTCCTCACCTGAGCGTCCGTCAGCCCCAGCATGGCGGCCAGCTGTTTCCTGTCCGGCTTGGTGACATACTTCTGAATCTCGAACCTCTTCTCCAGTCCCTTTCTCTGCAGGTTTGAAAACACGGCCCTGGACCACGACCTCTTCCTCTTGTACGTCTGCGGCATCGTGTCTTTGGTGAGGACCGCGTATGGACCTGAAAGACACGAGGATGAAGGTTAAAACGAGGAGAAAAAGAGAGAAAGAGACAATCACTGCAGGTGTGTGCGGACCCTCTGGGACCCTCTGGGACCCGGTTATCTGTCTGATCCGGGCCTACATGTGGAGTCTACCTGGGAAGGAGTCTTGAAACTGATGCTGGCCTGTTTGTCTGCCGCTGCAGCTGCTGCCTAGAGAGCTCAGCATGGAGGACGCGTCGCCCATCCCGGCCGCCTCCATGGAGGAGAAGTACTGGCTGGACGGAGGCTGAACTGGGAGGTGGAGGCCTGACTGACGGTTGGAGCTAACGATGGAGGTGAGATCTGTCACAGAGATAAGGGTGGAGGATTCAGTTAGGGTTCTACGACTTCTACTACAAAATAAAAGCCTGGGAGGAGGTTTCCAGCTGCAGGACTGCTGTTTGGAGCTGATCCTGACCTTCTGACCTCTCTACTTTGCCTTAAGTTCTCCTTAAAGTTCCTGTCGTGAAGCTCTCTCACTGTTTTAAACTTAAGAGGACGAGCTCACTTCTGTAAAGGATGTCTTTGAAGTCTGAAAATGTTTTCTTCGTCCTGTCATTCAAAAATAACTCTAAACACCCTTTTTTTTTAAAGTTGTGTATGTTTTTATTTTTTTCTGCAAACACCCCTAATCCAAAAAATGCAAAAAGAAATCTCCCTCCTCACCTCTTAGTGAAGACTTTTCTTTCCCCTTTGGATCAAATTCAGTCGACAATATCCGATCAATTCCAAATTTGAGGTCTTTGCTGGAAGGTGGGGGTCCTTGTTGGGAGTTAAAAGCAGTCCTGGACACTGATGTCAGCTGTAGTCCGTGTCTGTGGTAAGGAGACGCAGGGTTTCCCCGACATGCGCCGTACACTGACGCATCAGGAGCGACTGGATTAGGGCGCAGAGGGGAGCCGGAGCCGGAGTGACCCTGCTGCTGCTGCTGCTGCTGCTGCCGGTGAGGGTGGTGGTTGTGGTGGTGTCCCATATGCACCAGGAGGGCCGACGATCCCGGGATGTTCTCCGCATCTCCAGCCTGTAAAATGTCCGCGATGCAGAACGACGGTTTCTTCATGGAGTCCACGGCGAAGCCCCCCGCGCAGTACGCAGACCACAGGCTGAAGTTCGATGCGTAAAACGGGTTGAGCCCGGTCGTGTACATCCCGCAGCTCCCAGATGCAAGTCAAGGTTTCTGAGAAGAGGAGTTCAACAGGCATGCATGTATGCTATAGGAGTGAAAAAACCACGGAGGGGATCGTTTCTAAGAAAGAAGGAGAGATGGGGCGGCCTCTTCGTGCCAAAATCGCTCTCCAGACTCTGAAATCCAAACTCTGAAACTCCTCTCTCAAGTTCCTCCGCTGACACTGATTGGTCGATTTCTGAGCCAATGGATGATCTGCAGCTGCTCACAACACGCCCTGAGTATGATACACACACACACACACACACACACACACACACTTGAGAGCAATTTTGATCCAGAGTTGATGGATTGATCACTTAAAGAGTATTATTACACTCACTCTCTCGCATTGATTTCTATTTTTTCTGTAAATAAATCGATAATTAATATGCAACAAAATCACATAATGCTCTTTGATGTATCAAAATTACAGTGGTCGAGAAGTGCCACTGCTGCAAATAAAAAAAAAAGAATGCAAAAAAAGAAGTCACAACAGAAGTTACTGATGGAAAAAAAAAAGGGAGAAACTGAAGCCTGCTGTAAATAAAATAAAGAAACGGTGCAGATTTTTAAAAAAGCCACAACAGAAGTTAATGATGCAAAAAAAAGTGGCAATGCAAAAAAAGAAAAAAAAAAGTTACTCACTGCAAAAATAAAAGGATGCAAAAAAAAAAAAGCCACAATGGTAGTGAGCTGCCTAGACCGTAAAACACCAGTGCATTTTTTTTTTAAATCTGCACTTTTTTGTTTATTGCAGCAGGCTTCAGTTTCTCTTTTATTTTTGCATCAGTAACTTCTTTTGTGACTTTTTTTTTTCTATCTGCACCGTTTCTTTTGTTTATTTGCATCGGGCTTCAGTTTCTTTTTTTGCATCAGTAACTTCCATTGTGACTTCTTTTTTTGCATTCTTTTTTATTTGAATCCTTTTATTTTCAGAGTAGGTAATTTTTTTTTCATAGCCACCTCTTTTTGTTTGTCATTACCTTCCGTTCGCCTTCTCTTTTTTTTTTTTTTTTGGATTGTTAACTTTCGTTGTGGCTTTTATTATTTGCATCTTTTTATTTTCGCAGTGAGTAATTTTTTTTTTCTTTTCCATCGGCAGCTTTTTTTTGCGTGGTTAACTTCTGTTGTGGCTTTTTTTTATTTTAATTTTTTTAATCTGCACCATTTCTTTTTTTTATTTGCAGCAGGCCTCGATTTATACATGTATTTTTTTTGCATCGCCAATTTTTTTCTGTTTGCGTCCTTACCCTCCATTGTGGCTTTAAACATTTTTTTATCTGCACGGTTTTGTTTTTCATTTGCAGCGGGCTTTGGTTTTTTTCTTTCCTTTTTTTTTTTGCATTGTTAACTTTTGTTGTTACTTCTTTCTTGCATACTTTTTTATTTTTATTTTGCAGCAGTGGCAATTCTCGGCCACCGTACAAAGTGTTTTAATCTAAACGGTTAAAAGACTGGAACCTTGAATCGTGTCAGGCGGTTATATAAAGTCTGAACTGAAGTGTAATCAGTCCAGGAGAGCTTCTATTAGCTGCGCTCATCCTGTTTTTGATGGGCTGTGATTCGTGTTAAATGAGCGGATATTCCTGCTAGATTTGCTCCCCTCAAAATAGAAGCTGTTTTAGTATTTTAGGATACAGCCAGAAATCCTTATTTCTTCCGGAGCAGAGGAGGGGGGCGCTTTATAATGACTGTTAGAACTTCCCTTTTTCAATATTTGTGCAACTTTATCTCGACCTGCAAGTTGCACGGTGACGCAAATCCGTCCCTATGCTCATAATAAACAGAGGAAAACCTATTCCCCCCCGAAAGCAAAACACAATTAACTTCAGAGGCGATACTTCATCCGCGGGGCCCCTCAGGATTCACACGTTGGGTCGGGGCCAATGGATTTCAAAAACGGGTTTGAACAGCAAATACAATCGTCGACACGAGTTTGATTGTCTTCGCTCTCAGAGAACATGTTTTTTTGTGTGAGTGCAGCTTTGAGAAAGTGGCTAAAATAGAATAAAAGTTGATAAAAATTTCCATTTTTCCTCCTCCTCGGTGTGGGAACAATAGCAGCAGCAGCAGCCGCAGCCTGTGAAGCCGTCTTCATTGAAGTGGTGATTCATGCCCACGGAAGGCCCGATGACCCCGCAGCCTGCTGCTGCTGCTATCATGCTGTTTTCGAGTGACACTTTTCCGGGTTAAAATTAGAAAAGAGGTTTTTAACGTTCGCCCTGCTCCTCCATCATGCAGTCAAAACAATCCAGGGAAGAGGATGCAGCAGGGGGACGCAGCACGCCTCCAGTTATTTCAGGTGCAGCTGATGAGATTTGATTTTATTTTGGTGGGAAGAATTAAAGAGGGAAGGCCTCAGATTAGAGTCTATATACGTGCGTAAAATCACTGCTGCAGCCAGGAGAGGACAAGTCTGATTTTAATTTTCTGTTAAAAAAGATAAAAACACTGAGCCAATCAGGTTTCAGAAAACTGGAGTTAATTTTTTTTCACAAAAAGGAATAAATAATAATGTTAAAGAAAACACAAAATTCATGACATAAAAAATCGTGCTTTTCAAATTCATCTTTTTTATGGCACTTTTCAGACAAAAAGATGTTGTTCAAAGTTCCTCACAGAGGCTGAAAACAACAATTAAACAACAATAATACATGACCCTCTCACCCACACACCCATCCATCGACCCACACACACACACACCCTCTCGATCTGACACTGAGAAATTACACGAGGAAAGAGCGACCTTTGGGAAACACTGGCGATAAAAGATTTAAAAAATGGTGAAAAGAAAGAGAGTAAAACCTGATTTTGTATTTGCTGATTAAACTTTGATTTATTGATTCAGCTTTAAGATACAGTAAAGTGCGTTCTCAGATCAAATAGGGGATTTTTAAAGATGGATTTGGTGTTTTCATGTCTATCAGTATCAAATTAAATCAAGAGTTTATCTTGATCTGGTGAGGTAAAGTTCAGACTTTCAGAAACATAATGTCATATAAATACATAAAAAATAGAATAGAGGAGTGAAATAGAATCAGAATCGCCTTTATTGTTATTGCACACAGTACAACAAAATTTGAGCGCCACTCCCGTTGGTTCAAAAACAATAGTATATAAATAAAAACCACTAAAAACACAAAGATAAGAAATATAAAAGACACTAATATATAAAGGTATATACAAACAGGATATGATATGAAAACGTGATTATTGCACAGTGAAGCCCAGTTTTATTGCACTGTGATCAATATGATCAGTATATATGTTGGTTGAGGGGGACGGGTTCAGCTGGACTTGTTGTTGTTGACTGCAGTGATAGTGATAGGAAAGAGCTCTCCCTGAGTCTGTTGGTCCTTGTTTTGTGTGACCTTCAGCCCGACAGTAACAGTCAAACAGGTGATTTCTGGGGTGATCCACAAAAACCATGAAAATGAAGAAGTGAATAAGCAAAATATTGAGCCGAGAGCTGATGATCACAGAATTAGGAGCAAACATGTTCAGTTTAAGACGAGCTTCACTAAAACAGAACAAACACTGTCTGCAGAAAAGAGCTCGTCTTCATAAACACTCGTAATGATCCTGCCGTCTCATGTTATTGTTCAGTATCTCAGGTGAACGTTCGAGATTTCTCTGAATCAAACCAAATGTGACAAACGTGGAACTTTGGAAAGAGAAAGAAACCGTGTTTTATTCACCGATCAGACCTGAGAGCTGAGTTATGACTTTTTCAGGCTGAGCGCTGCTGGATACCATCACTCACCTTTATTTCTCTATTACTCAGCGGCCCTCAGAGGAGCAGAAGAAACGACGGCAGACGGGATTAAAGACGTGCCAGCGCCTCCTTCTGTCTCTGCGAGTCCTCCAGCAGACCTCCATGTGTCCCAAACTGGAGAAAACCTCCCTGTCAGAGCTCATCTTTAAAAAGTCTGACTCAGAAAAAAACAAAAAAACTTTGTCAACTCCTCGTTTAAAGATGATCGTTTAAAAAAACTCTGCAGGAAAATTAGTGTCAGATGTGACCTCAGGTTGTCTTGCTACGATTCTTGGACTTTTGTGTTGACCTTCGTCTGTTTACCTCAAACTTTTGGAGTTTACGTTAAAAAAAAACATAAATTACATTTTAAAAGATAAAATTGACACGCTTAACTTCAGGTGTACTTTAACAGAGATGACTGTTTTAGGCCTAAAGAGGTCAAAGTTGTTTAAATTCATCCGACAGTTATTTTTGCAGATGTGTAAAAGTGAACTGTGGTTTAAGAACTGACAGAAACTTTAACCATTTACTGATCTGTGTTTTGGAAATCTAGGAAAACACTGAAACTCTGTGGAGGACAAAACAATCGGACTGGGATGTTGGACGCTGAGACAATTAAGACAGTTTCAGCGTTTCCTGCTAAAGTGTGATCGTAAAACCTCATCATCATAATCATCAATTAAGCAGCGCACTAACAGCTGATCAGTCCGAACAAACAGCCTGAACAAAGTCAAAGGTTTTCATTTGAAAGCCTCCATTGTTGTCGTCTGATTGTTTTCTGTTTTTACAGGACGTGTCATCAGGTGCAGGAAAACCTGAATGAGCGGCGGTGGCGGCGGTGGACGGCGGCTCTGCAGGATCACAGAGGAGGAGAATGAAACTGATTTCCATTATTACAGCGAGAGGTAACGCTCCCCCCTCCGCACCGCTGCTGCGCCACGCCAGGATTACTATTTCTGGCAATGTTTGCCTCAGGAAGGAACTTTCGCAGATTTAATGGGACCTGGGCCATTGTACACAGCCTTCTGTATGGCACTGTGCCATCTTTTACACAGAGAGAGAGAGAGAGAGAGAGAGAGAGAACAAAAAGAGGGACACGCTGAAAACAAGAGGATCTCAAACACTAACATCTGTATGTATGTGTATTTAAATGAGCATGTCAGGGATGAACGTAGGACAGCGACTGTGTGGTCCTGGGATAGTTCACACTCGACTGACTGCAGGTTCAGTTTAATGACAAACACTTTTATTCCATGAGCTCATCTCTGCAAACATTAAACACTTCGGTAATAAGGGGAAAACTCATAACAGGAAAAATCAAAGTGCACCGAAGGAACAGAGCAAAAATATCACCACATAAACCTCTCACTGTGCAGACAGCTTTGAATCTGATCCCACATTACTGCAACACGAAAAAATCATCTTCATTTCACTGAGAGACTGATGGTTGAGAGTTCAGTTAATGAGAATATTTGTTTAGAAAAATGAGACTTTACTGTTTCCTGAAGGACGACCTTCATGATGAAGCTGCTTTCCTGCAAACATTCAAGGAATCATCAATTAAAATAAGATAAACAGTGTTTTAAATCAACCACAAATAAATGTCAAAAAAAAAGGAAAATTTAAAAGGCTTTATTAGAAAAATATATTAAAAAAATCATGTCCTGTGTGCATGAGTTAGTGTGAATAAAATATAATCTAAGAAACAAAAAGTGAAGAAAATAAAATATGACCCCCTGAAACATAAAACTGCAGTGCTTTAAAAAATCTTGATTCAGTCATTTAACCTGCAGATTTTTGTCCAGAATGAGGATTAATCTGACAAACTAACATAATACACAAACACCTGACACAGCAGTGAACGTGCAGTAGCGCCCTCTAGTGACCAAAAACTCTCTATTCTCTTTTGACGTTTTCATTTTGACCAAAAAACCCAACAAAAATTACTCAAATTAATTCAACTTAATAAACACCGATAAGCAGAGAGACTCTTGGGCTCTTTTTTTAAACCTATATTTAATTATATTTAGATTTTAATAATCCCTCAGTGTCTTTGTTTGTTAAAAAGTAAAAGTAAAAAAGTCCAAGTAACAAAAACAAAATTTACAACTCTTCCACAGTATATATTCAACTTTTTTACTGCTTATTTACACAAATGATGATCTGAGAGAGTAACCCAGGACCTCTGCAGAATAAAAAGATGATAAAACAGAAGAACAAAAGTGAAATCATGTAAAATATCTCTAAATTAAAAAAAAACAGCAGTAAGACATGAGGGTCTTTTCTTTGTACTTAAATATGTGTATTTGATCACTTTCATCACTGCTGTTCTTTTCAGTATTGAGTCCAACATGCAGACTGGAAACACATGCAGCTGACTCCACAAACACAAACGCTCTCTCTGTAAACTCTCAGGGTAGATTACTGCGTTTCTGGAGCTGCTGTTTATATTTCCACACAGTTAACTCACATTGACTCTGATGACTAAACCTCTTTTAAAAACCAAAGCTTGATAACTGCAGGTAGATTCAGCTCAGATCAGGTTAAAGTCATGAGTTTGTTCTGGTCTCTGCAGGTTTTCGATCCTCTCTCCTCCTGCAGGGTCTGAGATGTTCCCCTGAAGTGGTCATTAGCCGGACTCTAGAGTACCAGACTAATCACACTCACCCCGGGGTGCCCTCGGATCTAAACAACCTGAAGGAGCTGCTTTAAAGGGAGCTTTTAAATATGAATGTGACTCAGCGCCCTTCAGACAAACCCGTATGTTTACATAAAAACAGATTGAAATCGCCTCGACAGCCTCGGAGTGCAGATGTACACACCGTTAAATCACACGGACTGTAAGCTAAAGAGTAAAACAGCAGCAGGAGGAGAGACTGATGGAGACGCAATAGGTCAGAATAACAAACCAGAAGGTCTGCTGCTGCAAAAATATATCAACACATTAAACTATTTACATCACGTATGTTTAACATAACATCTCTTATATCTGATGCAAGAAAAGAGCTTCTAAAAACGACTTAATGATTAGTTCTGATGATCAAAATAAAAGTCTGCAACAAAACAATATAAAAAAAGATGAGCATTTATACATTTGCAGGAATATTAAATGAATGTGTTTGAGTGGAAGTGTGGAGGTGACTGAGGCGGCGTGTTCACTGAAGGCTGACGCAGAGCAGAGCGTCTCATTCTGCTCAGCTCTGCTGTTTAATCCTGAAGCAGCAGCAGCAACGCTGGAAAAATCCCATCCATCAGTCCAGGAACTCCAAACAGCAGCAGGTCTGAGGGTACAACGCAAACAGGACTCCTTATTAGTAACACAGACCTGCAGATAATGACCATCTTTATTATCATCAGTATAAAGAAGAGCGTCAACACTGGAAGGGCGATTTCTATGAGGTAAACCCAGAGGCCAACGGATTCACAGCTTCAGGATTATTATAGTGTCTTTACTTTCCAATGGGGGGTCTGCTTTATTTATTTATTCATGTATTTATTCATTTAATTAATTTTTATCTAATTTCTTCGTTACTTATTTTAGATAATTTAAATCTTGATCCAACTGTCTAATTAGGGCACCAACACGTTTAACAAAAAATAATTAATTATCTCTAATTTATTGATAATTAATCTGTTAAACAGGGAAAATAAATTCAAGAATAACTGCAGGAATTCATTAAAAATAAGAGTGTGAACTGCTCCAATTCTGCAGTTTCACACTGAGCAATATAATTTATTAAAATATAATATATAATATTATATAATATAATATAACAGTGTGATAAAATATAATATTGCATAATATAACACAATGTAATATAGTATTAATATAATTTAATATGATATATAATTTTGAAAATGAATATTTAGTCACTTATTCGTGATGTTTATTCTTTCTTCTTATTTATTCTTCCTCTTTTATTTCACATTATTCCTTAATGTATATTATATATAATGTGAATTTACTTTGAAACCATAATGTAAAAATTAAAAAAACCTAGTTGTTTTTTTACCAGCAATGTTAACAAAAGAGCAGCACCTCAGAACCAGAACCGGACTGATCTATTAAGAGGTGCAGTTCATTTCATCAGCGTAACACTGCCACCTAGTGACCATGCTGTGTGTTTCGTCTTGTGTACCAGTGTTTGTGTTTTTGATGACAGCTTTCTTAAAACAACAAAGTAAAGTGAATTAATAATGAATTATTGTCCTGATGGAGCTTTTAAAAAACAAGGTTTAATTAATTAATTCATCGATAATGGGTTAATTCAAACTGATCAATAACTGGCTGTTCCTGATTAAACTCGATCCACAGCGTTAACATTAACATTAACATTAACATTAACACGCTGGTGCGGATTGTTGTGGATCATTAGTGTGAATTCAGTCACTTAACACACTTGCTCTCTTCCTGTTTCCAGAGTCGGGGTCCTGCGCGTGGAGATCTCAGGGGACTCCGGGGTTTAACCTTTGACCTCCAGTAAAGCACAAGGTCAGTCCGTGGGGAGGGTGAGGGGTCGGCTCAGGAAGTGCAGGCAGGTGTCAGCTGCTGCTGGGAGCGCCGACACTCCACCAATTACTGACGTCTCACTTTACTCTGAGGAGGCTGTTTGAACTTCAGTCGGACTTTTGTCTTTATTTCACGACCTTTACCGTCTATTTTGGTTTGTAACGTTCATCAGATATTTATATTTTTAGGACATTTTTTCTGAGAAGATCCTGATTAAAATATAAAATTTATAAACAGTTTAAACAGGAAAATATCAGTGATGGGGACGAGTGAATTCAGATGTTAAAGAAGCTTCAGTTTCTGCACATTTGGTGAGCCTTAAATACAGAATAATTTCTATATCAGCTTGTCTCACAACAGCGACCTCATCTCATCCTGTTTGTTTGTGATGAAATGAAATAGAATAAAAAAGCAAAACAAGACTTCTTTTTTGAGGTTTCAGTGGTGTACACATATTTTTAATCTTCATCCTCAGTGTACCGTAAAAAAGGCCGTAATATTCAGCAAATGTGATCAAATGACAGTTCCCTTTAGTCTCTTCTCCGATGTTACAGCGAACATCTCTAACCTCTTTAAGTAGGAGATTTACAACAACAACTTCTTCTACATCTGTACAAATCAGTTCAAGAGTCAGCAAACAAATATACAGACATCTGCTCTGAAAACAGCGAAACATCAGACTGAGATAAATCTGAAATTAATCTGTGGTTTGATTCTTAAACTCGGCAGTGAATTCAAAGACTTTGGCACAATCACACCATTCAGTCTGTGACGTTTAAAAAAAATAAAACAGGAAAAAAAAGATTTAAAAATCTCTTTTCACAACCATTGGGACTGAAAATCATTTCTCTGTCAAGAATCAAACTTTTTTTTTTTTTCAAGTAAAAGTCATAAAAATGTAAAACAAACTTTAAAAAGTTGGCATTCACTTTCACATCAACATCAGTCGTTTCTTCAAACACGTGCGATCATGATTTTTGTCAGCTCCACTTTTTAAAAACAAGAATATAAATTTAGAAACGAGGGACAGGTTCAGAGGCTTCTTTAAATAAAAATTAAGATTTCACTAAAATAATAAACCCTGTCTCTGTTTAAAGGAACAGTTCAACACTCTTTTACCTGAACAGCTGTTTCTCAGGGTGAACGTCACCTTAAAAAGTGGAACTGTTCCTTTAAAGCGTCTGTGTCGTCAGTTAAAATGTGAGGTGAGGACAAAATACTCTAAAATCAAAAGTCCAGGACTCATGTGGATCCGCTTTAGCTGTCACCTGGTGCCACCTGCACCTGCCCGTTTCCTAGCAACCGCTCCCTCTCCCCTGCGCTGTCCTCCTCCTCCGTGTTCATCATCCTGGCGAAGCACAGCATTCTCGCCATCAGGGGGCGGTGCAGTCCATTATAGAGCGCCGTCCCCAACAGCAGCACCAGGAAGCCGAGGACCTGCAGGCCGTGGAAATGCTCCCAGCCCAACGCCAGGCTCACCACCCAGATGACCAGCGTGCGCAGGCTGTCCAGAACCATGCGGGTGGTGGCGCTGATCTCCTTGGTGACGCTGATGCCGGCGAAGTTGAAGAAGGCGATGCTGACCGTGTTTCCCAGCAGGGCCAGCAGGATGAGGGGCTCGTGTCCGATCTGACAGAAGGCGTCCAGCGCGTCCTCCAACACCTGCCGAGGGTTATCGCTGAAGCTGCCCACGTGGATGAAGTACATCGGGATGAGGAGAAGAGAGAGAACGACGAACCCGAAGAAACCTGGAGGCGGAGAAACAAGAACTTTAGATCCTCTGAAATTATAGAAGCTGAAATATATTTTTAGAAACGGTACGTCACTGAGGGGTGTGGTTTTGGGATGTTTGGCGGGTTATTCAAATGTCACCGGTGTGGTCAAACGATGGTTTGTGGTCAGCTCTGATCATTTTCTGTTGACCGTTTCACTCGTCCTGTTTTAACCTCATTTCATCGGATCACTTTTTCATTCGAAGGCAAAAGTTTTGGACCTGGATCGGAGTGTTTTCTTTTCTTTTTTGGAAGAATAAATCACTTTTCTAACACTCGAACCGGACTGATAATTAAACAAGTCACAGATGAGAGTGAACCTAAACCCCAGCGGCCTTTTTGTTGAGGGGACGATGACATAAAAGACTGTTCATTCAGGGAAACACTCTGGAGACAGCAGACATGAAGAGTTAAAGCTCTGAAGAGTTCGGCTGACTGAGCTCTGTAAGGTTCTCTACGGTCCGACCCTGAAGGGCTCTTTACGTGAGGAGGAGGATTTTAAACTTGATCCCTCGAGCAGCAGCAGAGATCCAGTGAGGAGAACAGAGTGTGATATGAGAGTGTTTGTGTGACTGAAGGGGGTTCAGAGCAGACCTGCTGACTGAGGAAAGAGGACTAATAATCAATACAGGATGAGATAAGAGCGAGTACGGGCAGTTCAGCGGCGGACAACAAACTTTAGAGAGGGCTGAGAAGTGAGATCTGGATCATGACTATTACTGAATATTTATAGAGGTCCAGAGGTCTCCATTAAAACTCCTTTAGGATTAAAGATAGAGTTTTACATCATCTGCATGTACATAATGTGTGATCTATTACAACTAAACATGAACTGATAAATCTTGATTCTTACATATGAAACCAGTTTTATCCACCGATCTTATCTACCTCAGCAAAGGTCTGAAAGTCAGACGTTTTAGCTTTTTGCTTTGCCAGAATGACAGGCCCCGCCCACCAGGTCACATCTGCACACGTTATAAAAAGAAAAATCGTATTGGCAGGTCAAGCTTTTTAAAGATCGATGATCAACCACAAAATTGTGATCAGTGCACTCCTAATTAAAACTACAATCAGTCTGAGAGAATAGTAGAGGCTCTAGGAAAGAGCTCTGTGGTACACCAGACACGAGTGGAGCGGAATCAAAGACAAAATCACTGATAGAGGAAAAAAACAGTCCATGCTGGGACTGAGACTCCCAGCCAATCACAGAGCTGATTCTTTTATAGAGGTCTTATCTGAGGTGTCATGTTTTAGTATTATCATGAACAGTATTATTGTTCTGTCTCTCTCACCAGTCCAGTTCTGAACCCTGGTAAAGTCCTGGTTCTGGTCTGAGGTCCCCTATCTGAAAGGGTATTTGGTCTTTGGTTGTGACCTTTATCTGTGCAGAAAATTGATGCGACACGTCGTCGTTGTTGTTTTTGTTTGTTGACCTTTGCATTCCTCGTCCACGTCCACAGTCCAGCTAAACCTGGACCACGTCCCCCGTCACATGATCGTGGCGTCCCTCTCAGACTTTAATCACTAACAACAGAAGATGATGTCAGATAAATTCCTCCTGGAGCCCAGAAGTGAACTCCTTTACCTTCAGTGCCGACGGCCTTCAGAGGATGGACGTCGTGTTTGTAGACGAACTTCTCCTCCAGGACCATCTGGACCGAGACGATGACCTGAGCCATGATGATCAGGAGGTCTCCTGCAGGACACAACAGGAAGTTCTTTGTGAGTCTTTTCAAACTCTGAGTCAGACGTAAACATCTTTAAAAACGACCCCCAAACTTTGTTCTCCTGCGTCTGACCTGTGATGACCTCACTGAGCTTGTGTTCGTCTCTGTTCCCGCTGAAGAAGTCGGCGAGGCCAACGATGACCAGCCCCAGGATGGTGATGACGATGCCGAGCCACTGACTGAAAACCAGGCGCCGCCCGAGGAACGCCACCGAGAGCAGACCGGTGAAGATGATGACGGCGCCGCGCAGCATCTGGAAGCTGGAGGCGCTGGTCATGCTGAGAGCTGGAGACCAAAAACAGGTGGGTGAGGAGAACTGAGAGAGCATTATTGAATCATTTCTAACTCTGCTGCGTCACGGCGGAGGGAAAAACAAGATTATCTCTGAGCTCCTTATCTCTCTCCTCCTGACGAAACGATTCTTTGACCTGAAGCAGAAAATCTATTCTGTTTAGACGCTCAGACGGAAACTCAGGAGACTTTCTGTTTGTTTTCTGTGATTTTACTTTCTCCTTTTTCTGAGGCTGACCGCAGTGAACCTGACCGTTATCTTTACCGTGATGTCGCATAAACACTTTTACAGCTCTGAATTTTATTATTTTATGTCCACGAACAAACGGCTTTAACTGTTCAAGAACAGGGACTTGATTTAACAGGAACATGCAAACCCAGAAAAAACTCCAACCTAACGGAGTATTTCTGATCAAACTATCTTTTTACTCTTAATGTCACCGACACTGACCTCAGGTATAAATCGTATTTTAAGATATTATATAAGACATAATATGGACCTAACTTTATCAAAATTAATGCCAAAGCAACAGTCTAAATGAACGTGATGAATGCCTTTGATTAGGTGAAACAAAATTAAATATTCAGACTTAAAATGGATTAAAAAGAGAGAGGTGACTTACCGACATACATGATGGAGGTGGCGGTCATGTCACACATGGCGGGAGGAAAAAACAGCAGAGGGTTGAAGCTCTGACCCGGGTTTATCTTCGGCTCGGGTCTTCTCCTGTCATGGCAAAGTAAGATGTGGAAGACGGCGAGACAGCTCAGCTCGCCCAGAAACATCCCCACCGCCTGGAGAGAGAGAGAAAAACGACAACAACGACATAGATGAAGAGTGAATAGATGTTAACCGTGTTTTGACTTTGGAGGTTAAGTTTGCTCTCTTTGCTGTTTTCATCAGCGTCCTTTTGTTTGTGGTTTCAGTGAGACTCTTGAGAACGGGGGTTAGGATTACAGCTGTGTTTCACCCCCAAATTAGAAATATTCACCTAGATGTTCAGTCTGATTCATAGATGCTGAGTGAGTGAAGTGGCAGAAGTCGGTCTGTAGGGGGAGTGAGGTGGTTTTGACGCGCTTCTAGTACAATCTAATGTCCAATCCAAGGTGGTTGTTGAGTTATATTTTTGCCATTTATTGATTCAATGAACAAGCAAAAACAGGACAGATATGTCCAAATTATGACAATGGTGATGTACGTGATGAGAGTGAGAGTGGTGTCAGAGATTAGCATTCCCCTGAAGCGCCCCCTGTGGTGATTGTGCGAGTAACAAAACAAAACCCAACAATAACATAGACAAAACGGCTCAAACACAGTCAGTGAATGTTTTACCTGAACGAACGGATGAGAGAACTGATGTTTGGGGTCGTCGTTGCAGCCCTTAGCTGAGAACATGTCAGCCCATCTAGAAGAAAAGATGGTCAGAGTGAGTTTTTTTACACAAGTCTGCAGAGAAGACAACAGACTGAAGGTCTCCTGTTTCTTCAGCTGCAGAATAACGTCATGATGTGTGAGCCGTCACATGACCTAAACTGATGAAGTCGCTGTAACTCAAGGTTAATGACTGCAGGAGTCTACAAAAACTTTATGATCTGGACGGTTAGAGGCGGACATGTGACCTCCTGTCTGCTGCTGCTGTAACCTGCAGGACCAGGACCTGGTTCTTAAAGACGATGACACAGCAGCTTCTCCAGATGGAAACTACTGACTGAATCCATGAAGAGCATCCTGATGATTTATTCTGAATATTTAGACACTAATATCTGGTTCAAGGCGACCGTTTTATATTCATGTTAATCTTTTTATAAGTTTCTCTGTTAAGCAGCAGGTTGATCTTTAGAATAAAAATGGGAATCTGCAACTTTACACCAAAGATCATTATCAAATTACATCATTTCCTCTATTTCTGGACCAGTCCAGTTGAAACTAAATCCATAAATTGATAACTCATTTTAGATCTGTTGTGTTTCAGATTACATATCTGTATTTACTTCACAGAAAGAGCAGAAACTTGAACCAAAACTGTACCCGCTTTACTGTGTTAGACTTGCTGATCCAGGACCGCGGTGAGGCTGGTGTCAGGTGACTCTTGTGAAACCCTGCCTGTTCGTTGCTCTCTGAGCTTCATGACACAGCTTGTTTTGTCTGACACACCGGCGCTACACCCTGAAGTTTGTTTAAGCGCTCAGACCCACAAAGAGACACAGAAGTGTGTGTGTCAGATAGTAGAGGGCTGACAGCAGGTTTTATTGCAGAAGTAAAAATCGCTGAATAACTCGTTTTCGTTCAGACTGCAGACTTCTCCTAATGTGACAGCTGAACGTCATGAAGAGTTTGACGTTATCGTTCACTACTGTCTCGCTCCACTTTGTAAAAAGCAGATTTGTCTGTTCTCTTTCTGCTGAGAGGCACAGCTGTGTTTGTGACTGTTGGTTGATTTTGTTTAAAGACATCAGATTATTGTCGAAGATGTGTTTCAATCAGTTTATGCAGTTGAGTTTATAAACAAAATACAGGTTAGATTAAAAGGGATACTCTGGTGTAAAATTAATTTAGGGTCAAACCCACCGTAACACCGAGTGAGACCCCCCCTCCAGAGATGAATGTTGTCGACCGCTTGCTTCTCTAGTTATACCAACTTTAGTAACGACCGCAGGATAGAAATACAGAGAGACACGCCCTCAACCAAAACGCCACTCTATAGCCACAAATAATGCTCAGAACAGCACCTAACTTCATCAACAGGACATATAGGGTCACAGACATAGTACTGGACACCAAACCAAACCTCAGACCAGTCTATTACAGATAACAGCGGGGTGCCGCAGCTCAAGGAAGAACATTTATGATCATTTCTTTATCGTTTCTTGAAGTAATAATCACCATATTGATGACTTTACAGACGCGGTAGTTCTTCTGCCTCAGCGTCTCGGTCTGATTGTATTTCCATGAAGAAATGATCATAAATGTTCTTCCTTGAGCTGCGGCACCCCGCTGTAGTCCGTAATGGACTGGCCCAACAAGCGGCTGCTGGAAGAGAGAAGGTGAGTTGTGTTTAGTCTCTTTGCTAAAGAAATGAGTCAAAGTTAACAACATTCAACATTCATCTCTGGAGGGGGTGTCTAACTCGGTGTTACAGTGTGTTTGACCCTAAATTAATTTTACGCCGGAATATCCCTTTAAGATTTTATGATTAAAATGATATTTTTCTCATTTTTGAAAACCAGCTGTTTCATTAACTTTAACTAATAGTTAGTTTTCCATAAATTTCTTGCATTAAAAACCGTTTTGTCCTTCTTTAATGTGAATCTCTGATGGTTTTATTCCTCTTGTTTGTAGTTTGAGCAGAAGTTAGTGTCTGTTTTTCCTCCTCACAGGTGTTTCATTCACCTGTACTGACACCTGAAGCACACACTGACTTCACCTCTGACACAGTCTGTCCCCCTGACTCAGCTCGGTCTGCTGCAGACTCAGATCCTTTTGGGGGTCTGCAGATAAAATAGTTGACAGTCTCTTCCATTTAACAGCTTCTTCCTGAATTTAATCTTATCTCTGTGTTTGTCAATAAGATTGAAATGTCTGCTCTCAGCCCCTCTGGGCTTCCTGAAAATGTGAAGTTAGAGTCTCCTCACAGGAACAGACCGATAAAGGTGTTTCTCTGTTTCCAATAGTGAAGTTAAAAGACTATCGATCCATGAGCTAATGTAACCCTCTGTATACACAACACGACGATAACACACATGTGGATTACATGCTAATACACACGAAAACAAAACTATCTCTGTTATTAGCTGAAAAAGGAGATTATATTCATTTACAGTTTAGAGTTAAACATCTGTTTACATCTGCAGAGGCTTTAACCACAAACACATGACACCAGCACACCAGGATAACGGAATTAAAGCTTCTTACTTGGCCGATAATGTGTTGATGGATCCGGTCGTGAGCATCAGTCCCGCCAAAAACAGCTGATATTTAGTCCAGGCCATGATGGGAAACCGAACCGGACCAACACGAACCAGGACAAAGAAGAACCGCTGAGGAGGAGCAGGGGGTTTTTGTCCTCCTAGGTTGTTGTTCAGACTCTTACCGGAGGATCTCCGACGACTGTAAACGCCACATGACGGCAGAGTCAGCTGACCACGGCGTAGGCAGCGTGCTGCGTTCACGTGCTGTCGGAAATGACGAAGCAGAGGTGAGTTCAGTTCACAAGAAAAAAAACAGAAGTGAGATCGAAAAAAGTGAATGGACCCGCGTCTACTACATTAACGGAAATCAGCTTTAGAGTAAAACAAAGGGCATTTTTAATAAAATATAAAACGACAGAGTATTAGGGCCACATTAAGATTAAAGTTAAAACTAAGAGATCAAAGTAATTAATTACGATAATAAGTCATTACTAATGAGAATAAAGTCACACTAAAATCATTTTTACAATAATAAAGTCGTAATAAAGTCCTTATATTCGAACCTGCTGTTTGAGATGACAGTTGTTGAAATAAGAGCCATGGAGCATTTGGTGAAAATTTACTTTAATATGAGTTTCTCAAATAAGGAGATACTTCATCTTTTAGTACATCAGCACAACATTATCATAAGTATAGTAGTAGTAATAGTTTATTACGACTTTATTCTCGTAAGTAATGATTTTTCTGCTATATTTTTTAAGTAATTACTTTATTATGTTTGTTTATTACTTCTTTATTAAGTATTAAAATCATTATTTACGCGAATAAAGTCGTAATAAACTTTAATCTACTAAACTTGATTTAATCTACTCGGTCTTTGAATTTTAACAAAAGTAAGAAATACTGCAGAGATGGTTCTCACACCTGAAGCCTGTCAGTGTTGATGTATTTAGAATAGATGGTTGATTTTGTCTTCATTTGTCAGGACTATTGAATACTCTTCTATACACAAACAAGAATCATGTGAGAGTGATGAAGGTTTTGTTGCGTGTACCCTGACTGAACAGCAGGGGGAGTCAGAGACCAGCTCGGAATAAATAGTGGGAGTGGGACTGTGTTTATTTCTCTCTCTTTGGCCTTATGTTGCTTAACATTAGAACAAGCTCCACACTTTCCTCTTCCATAGGGATGCAGAACTTAAAGAGCTGAAATTAAACTTCCTCATAACCTAAAATTAAGAGAGAGAGACTCTGAGGTGGATCATAAAAGTCTATCAGAGTCATTCTTATTGGCACCCAAAGAATCTGACATTAGATTTCATAACCAGCTTCATTTCTAGATGTTTTCAATCCTCTACATGCAAACATCAAACATATTTTATTCCACGTTTATTTTCCCCACTTTTATTTTCAAACTCGCTCTTCCCCTCCTGAGGTTAGTCATCTTCTTAATAAGCATGTTGAGCGTCTCATCTGTCCTCTCTGCAGACACTCAAACCTCTCGGCTCCCACACGTGTAGACAGAACTTTGTCACAGCTGCCATCATTAATTAAAAGACTTTCACTCTCCGACCACATCAGTAGATTTTTTATGAGTACGTCTCATAAACTCGGGACCTACTTTTGGGACCTACTTTTGATGAAGATGCTTTTGAAAATAGTCACTTTTTTATTATTTTTATCTGTTATAATAAGAGCGATGATAACCCGATCCAGTTTGTACAGAAAGGCTCACAGTCACTTCACAGTGAGTATTCTCAGGGCGGCAGATGACGGTCTAACATCAGTCTGGTTCTGCTCGAGGTTTCTGCCTGTTAAAGGAAGTTCTTCCTCTCTAAATGCTGTAAAGTGTTTCACTCCTGTGGTTTAAGATTTGAGGATGGTTGTGGGTCTGATCTTACAGGATGGGGCTCAGTCTGGTCCAGTCTTTACATCAGGTCTTTGTAATCAGAGTCTGGTCTTGCCCTTGAATAGGGCTGGGCGATATAGAAAAAGGTTATCACGATACAATTATTTCATATCAGTCGATATCGATAAATATCAGGATATAAAAAATGAAATGTAACAGTGTGGTGAAAAAGATTTGAGGTATTCCCCGACTTTGTGAGAACATGTACTCGACATAATTTACAGTCCACATTACTCTGCTTCATGTCCGACCTCCACAAACCAAAATACCTCCACACCACCGACGTTTTCCTAACGCCAGTGTTGTGGTTGACATTGATGTGGTCATCTGTTGAGCCTTCATGGTCATTTTCTTTGTTTCTCACCAACAGTGCTGTCGGCTTCACCTGTTAAAGTGCTATGGTTGGGTGGAGCTGCTGTCTGCTACGACGCTGCAGTTGGTTGATACTTGGTTCTAATTCAGAACATGATTGGTTCAGACCTGCAGCAACTCCCCTTTTCATTGGCTTTGCTTAAAGTCTACCCAAACATGGCAGTAAGCCGCTTAGAGAAAAGCATATTGACCATGTTTCATATTGATATATTTTATCGCCCAGCCCTACCCCTGAAACATCTGTGGCAGCCGTGAGAAAGAAAGGCGTCATCATTTCAGGCTGAATGAACCGGAAACATTTGACTGACGGACGACTGCGAGTGGTGTGAGGAGTTGGACCTGTGGGACATCGAGGTGACGGGGGAGCACTTTATGGTCACGCTCATCCCGCTCTGCTTGAAATGTCACATGGCTGTGTCAGCTGGACGGAGCGAGGCGGGTCACGGCTTCATGAGCGAGCGTTCACCTTTCTGCATGGCGGCGCAGCAGTCCAAACCGAGCCAACCCCAGATTTATTCATGATCATCGTCACTCAGCCGAGCTCACCTGTGCATATTCTCCACACGGATACATCAGCGTGACCCCCCTGACTCGGCGCCGTTATGTAACATGTACATCTGCTCTGTGCGGGAAAATACAGAGAGATCACCTGCTGACAAATGTCATCATGAAGTCAGTCACTGTGAAAACTCGCCGCTGAGTTCAGGTCTGCGGCGTTTTTCTGCTGCTGGTCTTAAAGTCACATGACCACCGTCTGAGAAACACAAACAAACAGACTCTGATAATGTGACGTTTTAGCGTCAGCCGCCATGTTTGGGACCGTGTTTGGCTCCTTTCAGTCGATAACCTGCTCCTGGTCCGTCATCCGTCTTCCTGCAGACAAAATTCATTATTGAAATCAATAAAAAGTCTATTTTGGAGCCTGATTATACACGTCTGCTGCAAATCTGCCTTTTGTTGGTGTGACTCATGTTTATAGTTTGTTCAGACACTTTAAACTCACCTCTCTGATAAATGGTCCACCTTTACTCGCAGCGTTTGGACCTCCTTTTACTTCACTGAAATTTATGATGGGATCTTTTATTACCTGTACACAATAGGAGTACGTTTCTCTGAGCTCTGCAGGCACAAATCAAGGTTTCCAGGCAGAGCTGCTGCTGCTGCTTTTTTCCATGAGGTCAATCGTTGGCTTAGATTTGACGTTTAATTCACAGGAATATTATTCAGCATTGTTTCCCGTTAGCAAAGGCTGTAGTGACACACGTGAGGTCAGAAACCCGAGTCCATATTAGGAAACAGAAACATGGAGAGCTCGTCTTTGTGCAGCAGGAGTGAGATCAGCGTACAGTAATAAGCCGGACTGTAAATGTCTTCAGCTTTCAGAAACATGGAGGACTGCTCTGAATTAAACTGTGTGTGAAACAGAGTTTGTAGATGATGATGAGAACCTGAAACAAAACTAAAATACTCAACTTAGATAAAATAATACAAGCACCAAACTCAGAGATCTGCAGGTGCAGTGATGTGGTTTTTACCCTCAGGGGTCCTTAAAAAAAGTTACGATTAGGTCCTTATGGACAAAAATGTCCATCTCCTGAAAGTGCCATAAAAATATTTTACATTAAAATTCTTTTCTACTTTTTTTTTGCCTAAATATTTTAATCAACTTCATTCATGATCATATCTATCAAGTATTTTATAATTTTCAGAATTTTAACCCTTTTTCCCATTAAAAATATCACTGACATCATGTAGTCAAACTAGTATTTAAAGGATTAAAATGTTCAAAATGGATTAATATTTGATATATATGATCGGGAACAAAGTTGATTAAAAGATTTAAGCAAAAAAAAGTAGAAAAAAATATTAATGTATAATATTTTTATAGCACTTTAAGGAGATGGACATTTTTGTCCATAAGGACCTAGGTGTTACTTTTTTTAGAAATTGGACAATACATCAGAAATAATATTGCATCAAAATTAATGTTGTTGTCAGTTATTGTCACATCATAGACCTCGATAACAAAAACAAAGAAATTCCTGCCCAGCATCTAATTTATGGAAAATAACACAAATTCCTTTTTTTTCCCATTAAAAATAACACTGATAACATTAAGTCAAATTGACATTTACAGGGTTAAAATTCTGAAAATTAATTAATATTTGATAGAAATGATCAGGCATGAAGTTGATAAAAAGATTTAAGCAAAAAAAAGTGGAAAAAAATATTAATATATAATATTTTTATAGCACCTTAAGGACCTAAGCGTATAGTGTTATTGTCACACAGTGAATATTGACCTGATGTAATAACGGGCGGTCACATTTTTTAAAAATTGAAAAGAACAAAAATCCTGAAAAAAATCATCCCATTTGCGTGAACACAGACAAAATGATCAACAAATGAAAATAAAAAGTCTCCAAAAAATAAACAAAAATGTCTGAAGAGCTCAGAGAGTCTCTCAGACTGAAGCTGAGTTCATGTTTCTGTCTCTCGCTCTCGTCTTTGCTGGATGTTAATTTCACTTTCGGACCCGTGACGCTTTTTTAAAACGACCAAACTTCTGACTCAGACACGTCTGACCTCTGACCCTCTGTCTTCCCTGTCCACTCGTCTCCTCTCTAACTATTATTTACTGTATCAGCGCCACACCAGGACGCTTGTCGTGATCATGCATCACCACTGAGGGCTGTCATCGGTTATGTAACCGCTCTCCAGCGTGTTTGTAACCCGGACCAGAGTTCTCTTAAGTCCCTGCTCGGCCTGAAGTGGCCATCGAATCCACGTGGACAGACCTGACAAAGACGCTCGTCTCATGAGAGGATGGTTGGAGGGGGATTGAGATGTGAAGTATTTTTGAGACAGAAAAGAGCGCTCGTGGTTATTCTTCATTAAGCCCACTTGATAGTAATGCTGAGAAGACTGAAGTACTTACACGCCCGGACTATCACCTGCATGATGATGACCAGATAACATGTCCCCGTTTAACCCTTCGTCATCTATCCATCTGCATGTCTGTCGCCAAAGGTTAAAAATCCAGCCTCACTAAATCAGATTTAAAGGTGGTTTAGGCAGGAATCCGTTAAAAAACATCTTTTTCATATTTTTAAATTCATCACAGATTTTTTTTATTATATTAAGAGATCATCTCATCTAATCGGTTTCCATGGCGTGACAGCTTCACGCGAGCCTCTCGTGGTTGTACATGATGCCGAGTGTCGGTAAGAGCGGTACGACGAAGTGCCCCGGAGCTGGGGAGGATTTATGGATGTGGAAGTAGAAGGTCAGAGTGATGGATCAGTACTTTGGTACCCGGCAGTCTGATGAATGAATCTGAGTTTGGTAGAAGGTCAGAGATCTTCGGTTCTTAGAGGAGTCTCAGGGTGGGGATGAAACCTGCAGGTGTCTCTTCAGGTAGAGATACAGAAGATTGGGCGCTATGACTTGGTGGCAAAGTTCTCTTCTGCACAAAGTTATGTCCTCAAAACATGGACGAGTTTGGACAGAGGTGAGACGGATCCAGGAGCTGGAGAACAAGCAGCAGCGATCTAGAGGAACCAGCAGCATGATGGAGCTCAGAGACGCCCATCTCAGGTAGAACCAGGTTTCTTCAGCCTCACAGGAGCTCCTTCATGATGGAGGAGAGCCTGTTTGTGTCTCTGGATGTTTATATTCATGTTATCGTTCCTCTTATCTGACTGTCAGCTGTGATCAGGATGATACAGCGTGTTATTATCAGACCATTATGAGCAGTATCAGTGTCATTATTACTCCCAGTACAGTTCCCGTTTGTTCTGTGACAGTCACTTATGCTCAGATCTTCACTCATTATCTAACCGCTGAGGGGATCCACCGCATGGCCGGGGTGTGCGGGGTACAGAGGGCACAGCGAATTCTCCCGCAGATCTTCTTGGAGGACACCTAATCACAAGTGACACGAGGGCAGCTCTGCAGATTTGACGCTAATCCAAACTGAAGTCGGAAACATTTCCAGGACTCTCAGCGCTTCTTTCCAGATAAAAGGGCACAACTGGAACTGGGCCGTGAAGGCCGGGGCCAGAAACAAGGACTAAAGGACCGGACTGCTCCCCTTTCCCTTCACCATCATCACACGAAACCCTCTGCAGAAGAAAAAGATCTTGTTTGGTCTTAGTTAGAGTTGTATCTAATCTAATCTCATTGGTTCCGCCTGTCTGTGGCTCGTCTGTAGCGTTGAATACAGACTCCTCCTGAGGTTGTTAGTCTGTTAAAACAGATTCAGATTCAGATTCAGACAACTTTATTAATTCCCAAAGGTCAGTTCACTCCACAGTAACCCGCCTTGTTGTTAAACGATCAGGAACAGACGAAGACCAGACATTCACAGCAGCGTACGGCCCAAACACTCCCCTGTCAGCACCACCAATCAGAGATGAATGAATTAGTAGATTATAAATACATGTGCAGTACGGTGCACAGTGGAGTAACTAAAATACAATAAAAATAATGAGATAAAAAAAGTAAAATAAGAACAGAAACAATCCTGAGACCCTAAAATCCAACACAGGCCACTAATCTGCTTCATCAGCCTGATCGCCGAGGGGACAAATGAGTTAGAGTTCCTATTTGTTCTTCTTGGGGGGGCACAGTAGCGCCTCCCAGAGGGCATAAGAGAAAAGTCGACGTCTGTTTTTTTCCTTGTTTGCCTGGATGTAAATAAATATCAAAGTTTGGAGACAAACAGCTGTTTTGACGTCTAAACGGTGACGGCCCTCGTGCAAAGAAACTGTCAGATGATGTAAAAGACGGAGATCTTCCTGAAACCCTCTCAGCGTTTGTGTCTGCAGGTGTTGGTTTGTTTGTTTGGATCGATCTGACTCTGACGTCTTCGGCTCTCTCTAAACTTCGGGGTTGATGTTGTCGGATGTTTGAATCTCCGTTGATTGTCCCTCCGCTGTGCAGCTCAATCACATCAACCTGACAGAGCTCCCCGTGAGTCACGGATCAGCTCCGACTTCACACAGACCCGCTGATGATCGCACACCAGCAGACGCTTTAATCAGCTAAAGTCTCACACTTTAGGGCCGACTGACTTATAAATAAAATTTAACTCTATTCAGCTGCTTTTTCCCAGAGTTCCTCTGATAAGAGAGAGAGAGAGAGAGAGAGAGCAGCTGAAGAACCATTAATTCTGAGATATGAGTTTCACCAGATAAGACGAGGCTGATTTCAGAGAGAGGAGGAGGTTTAGACTCTGATTCAGCAACATGCAGTTCCTCTGCAGACGTGGAGCTCTTTCTGACAGCTGTCAGAACTCTACATGATGAGATCGTCACGAATCGGTCATCTCTTGGTTGACCTGTTAAATATCCGAACAATAATACACCTTTGTTAGTTGAACGATGGAAAAATTCTGTACAGTTTTTGTTTGATAGGAAAGTGTTCTCTCAGTGGTCTTAAGTTTTTAGCTAAAATCACGTTACCTGTGTCATTTTCAAGGTCTTTTTTCTGCAGAGCTCCAGCAGCTCATTAGCAATTCGCCTCTAAATTGTGGGCGGAGTCAGCGCTGCTCTGAACACTCGACTAGGTGTAGTAAAAGTAGCAGGTAACAGGAGATATTCAGCTCTGAGGCACTAACGTCTTTGGGGACATGATGACAATTAATATCATAATTAGCTTTCTTATGAGTATTACAATCTGCTAACGCACACGCTTGTTCTGCGATTGTCTCCTATATTTTTCAAAGTCTGGCCTGCATAGCAGGGCTTCAGGGGCGGAGCTTGGATTTGTGATGTGGGAAATCTCACTCAGTTTGTTTACATGCACAGTTTAATCGGACTAAGCTCATAATTCGTCTTTTTCTCTGAATCAGACTTCTCTCCTCGTCCTCGTAAACATGCAGCTGAGAAAATTGAATTATTGACATGAACGTGTCCTCCTCCCCAACACTAGGGGGCGATATGGGTCTTTTCAGCTGCGCTGTTTCTGTGTGAGATGTCAGAAGTGTCTACAACTGCTGCTGGGCATTTTGGAGAAACAAGAAGATGGAGCATCGTACAGCGTTGTTTTTGTCCGACATGATGGACGCGCTACTTTTTCTAAAGAGGAGACCAACGCTACTCCTCTACTCTGGGATTTCTGTTCCGGGGTTATGGGGGCGTGGCTCATGTGCACTGTTTAATCATACTCCGACTACGCTGGTTACATGGTAGAGAAAATCGAATTCTTCTCAAACTCTGATTATAGTCGGACTAAGGTGTTTACATGCCCTTCATTTGTCCGGTCTTATTTGGAGTAAGGCGATAATTCAGTTTTCTCGAGTGTCATGGAAACGGACTGACTGTGTCTGAACCTGCCGTTTGGGTCTGTGAGAGATTCACAGCCATTTGACTGAAGAAATACTCAGAGATGCAATTTTGCTCGTATTTTTTTCATGATATGTTCTTGTGCATCAGAAAAATGAACATGTAGACAACAAGAAAAACAGGATTTTCTTTGGAGTTGGTCTTTAACTACAAAATCTTCTCAGTGATTGAAGATGATCTCAGAAAATTATCCTCCTCTCTTCTCTACCAAACACACGTTTCTGCTTTTTCATGTTAAAGAGCGTCACTGTCCCCGTTTCAGCCCACAGCAACAACCAATCAGAGGAACATACTGGTCTGTGTTTGTCCACCAAGCTGGGTGCGTGTCTGCAGCAGAGATGGAAGGGCGGGGGGGTGTTACTGTACAAGAGTCAGCAAAGGCACAGCTGGAGGTCACAGTTATGTAACAGCACTAATGTCAGACCGTCACACAACATGAGATCCTCCCATCCTCCCTGTCCCTGTTTGAAGCCGTTTTCTCTCCATCTCAGATGAGGCACCAAGAAAACTCTGCGTGTGAAACTCACACGTTCATCCTGAAGATGCTGAACCAGTTATCTGTACCACGGCCCGCTGTGTCACTATACAGAGGGTCCGAGGTACGGAGTCATCTGTACCGTTTCTTTATCATTTCCTTGAAGTAATAATCATCATATTAATCATTTTACAGACGCTGTAGTTCTTCTGTCTTAGCGTCTGGGTCTGATTGTATTTCCATGAAGAAATGATCATAAATGTTCCTCCTTGAGCTGCGGCACCCCGCTGTAGTCTGTAACAGACTGGCCTGAGGTCTCTCTACAAACAAGCGTCTGCTGGAAGAGAGTAGGTGAGTTGTGTTTAGTCTCTTTATAAAGAAATGAGTCAAAGTTAAAAAGATGTTTGGTGTCTAGTACTATGGCTGTGACCCTATATGTCCTGTTGATGAAGTTAGGTGCTGTTCTGAGCATTATTTGTGGCTATAGAGTGGCGTTTTGGTTGGGGGCGTGGCTCTCTGTATTTCTATCCTGCGGTCGTTGCTAAAGTTGGTAATTTTAGCGCTGAGCTGACAGTCGAAGGCAGAATTTTCTCACGTCTTCTTCTCGTCTGTATCTTCAGAAGGCGACCGGCCCTCTTTGAATCCCTCATCTCTGGATGGATGTCTTCTCAGCGTCTGACTTCTTGTTGATTTTCACTCTGGGAACAATTAGTGTGACATGAAAGTGTTTCTTCAGAGAAGCTATTAAAGTGTGGGGATCCTGCGACTCTCTGACTGATGAGTTAAAACACACGACAGAAAGAGATTATTCGTCATTACGAGCCGTTAACCTGCGATACACAACATCATGTAGCTCCGCTCAGGAGAGACGGTTTCCAGCGAGTGAGCAGACGTTTCCTCTCGCTGTGATTTACAACCCCGAGTAAAGCAGCCCATTAAAGGCATTCCCTACTCATGAGATAAAGGTCCCAGCGGCAGACGGGCGTATTTTCAGTTTCCTGTGAAAAATGAGTCGGCTTAATGTGATTCAATGGGAGTAAGATGTGAGAGGAGCTGAATACTGGACATTCAGAGGTGGAGGCCTCTGGAAAGATTAGAAAATCCATTATCTACTGAACACACACACACACACACACACACACACACTCTAACACAACCTCTTTACATCCATTTATCCCTGTGAATATGCTCCAGCACCTCTGCAAATGACTCATGCTGAGATTATCATGCAGAATAATGACGGGGTATCTGCCGGGTGCTAATCTAAGGTGTAAGAAGAGAGAGAGAGAGGGAGAGAGAGAAAAAGAGAGAGAGGAGATCTGTGTTTGAGAATTTTATTGTACAAAAGGGAAAAAAAGTGAAAATATTCTCCAACGAAACACTTCAGGTAATTTTTAGACTTTTACTTTAACACAAGCAGAGAGGAGCTTTAAATGGAAATAAACATGAAGCTGTGAAAAAGAATGACTTCAATTGAAAATGTGCATGTTCGGCCTCTCAGCGGATTTATAAGGTCAAAAGGTCATCAGATGATCTGAAAACGTTCCCCCAGAGTGAGAGAGTTCATGTTTTACAGCTACAAAGGTGCGACAGTTACAGTTATATAATAAAAACCATAACAAGGCTGAGTGAAAGGAAGAGTCACCTCATTATAACTTTGATTATGTAAAGTGGCATCAAAAGTTCAGCCTGAGGAAGGCGGCGATGACACATGTAAATCCAGAGACAGCGTCTTCCTGGATCAGGTCACATGGTCGGCGTGGACTCAACCTTTTTTCTTCAAGAAAATGAAATAAACTGAAATGAACTGCAGACTGATTTTATTCAGACACCATGAAAGAGGTTGAGGGCAACATGAAGAGAAAAAAAATAAAGGGAGGAAATTAAAAAATCGACATTATGTCAATAAAGTCAAAATTTCAAGATTAGAAATTGAAATTTCAAGATTAAAGTCGAAATTGCGAGAATAATGTCAAAATTTTTAGACTGAAAAAATCAAAATTTCAATTTTTTTAAATTTCGAATTTTTTAATCTCAAAGTGGAAATTAAAAATATCTCCCTCCTGAAATTATTTTTTCTATTCTTGTGACCCTAATTCTCTCTCATCGGACACAGCAGGTCATTAATTTCCGAAAATATAAAAGTGTAAAATTATGTTTTTTGTCTGTAAATTAAATATTTATGTTGAACCTTTATGATATAAAACTGTGAGAAAACAAATTCACTGAACTGATGTTATGTGTAGTTTTGAAGGACTTTAAAAATACACATAAAAAATACACACATGTCAACAAAAAGCTGCTGTTTTAAATCATATTTATTATGACCAAAGATAAAAACAGGGTTAATGTAAATCCACACACAGCTGACTGCAGACCCTCTGTCGGTTCATGAGGGAAACGAAACGATGATAACAGACATAAAGATGTTCCAGTGGAAAACAAAAACTGAATATGACTCTTTAGACTCGATATGACTAAAACTGTAAAATAAATCTACAAAAATAAAATAAATTAATCAAAGATTTGACGTGAAAAATCTGCATAAAGACCTCAGTCGGCTGAATCAAGTGTGTTTGGAAAACCCCTCTAAGTGCATGAGGTGCAAACTCCAAGGTTAACTGCATCTATTATCAATAATAATAATAATAATAATAATAATAATAACACGTCGTTTACATCGAGACAAACATGTCAGACTAATAACAATAAAGGGTTAATAATTTACAAAACAAAACCAACTTTGACAGAATAAAGACTGAAAAAAGAAGACGACTGGACGCTGAAGTCCAGAGCGCTAAAGCTTGTGAGTGTGATCTGAGTCTCTACCACAGGGGGCGCTCATGCTCTTCATGAAACTATAAACAAACAGCTGCGTTTTAATTAAACTGAGTAACAGACGGAGGCGGGTCGTCAAAATGAAACCGATATGAAAGTGATGTTAGCCTGCATCCTCTCCACTGGCCACCAGGGGGCGACTTTACCATTTAAAGATAAAGGTCTTTATATTAGGTCCAAAAGAAGTGACCCGATTCCTCACGTGGTTCCTAACCTGAGCTTGAGGGTACGACTGCTCGTGTGCAGACGTACAAAACGCCGCTTAACGACTTAATCGGCATTTGGCGTGAATACGAAGTTTAACTGTTTGTTTATTTGTGGTGTGTTTGAGTTAGCCAATCAAAATCAGTGTCAGATTATCAGGTTATCTTTGAACCAGTGTTAGCTAACTTCTCGATCTTCCCGACACACACAAACAAAGATGGTGGCGGTCGACATGTTAAACTCGAGGCTTTAAAACTGTAGTGCACAAACCAGTCCACCTCGTCGTACAGCCTGACCCCCGATTTCCACCGCATATGGAACCGCTACAAAAAGGTCTTAACCGCCGATCGTAGCTGATCGTAACCATTCAAGTTAACGTGTCAATTTACACCGACTTCTTTCCGTTCCTCTGCGGATCGCCGGACTCCTCAGCTGATCACAAGAGTTCTATTTTTTGACTTCCTTTCTGCTGGAAAGGAAGTCGGGCACAGACACAAAATAAAACATCCGGCTTCTTTTCAAAATAAAACACTCCATGTAGGAATTGACGGACAGCGAAAATCACCGCCGTTCCGGATGCGGTGAAAAAAGGCGCTGAGTCTACATGAAGAGAGAGTGAATCAGACAGACGAAGATAGAGAAACCGGAGAAACTAAAACAACAGTGAGGTCTGATTCTGGTTCTGGTCCTGATGAGGGATACTGACACCAGTTCAGTCAGTTGGTACAATCAGAGCGTTACAACGTGGTCAATAAGACTTTCATTCAGACTGACAGAAAATGAAGCAGATGAGAAAGTTCAGAACCTGAACTTCAGAAAACCTGAAGAGTCCAAATATTCACATTTTCATCCTCTGAAGTTTTTATCAGTAAAAACCAAAGATAAAATTACTCTGGGAGAAGAAAGTGGATTTATGAATTTTCAATAAAATATTTCTTAGTGGAGCTTTATTCTTTATTTACAGTAAATACAAACTCTCTCTCTCTCTCTCTCTCTCTCTCTCTCTCTCTCTCTCTCTCTCTCTCTCTCTCACTAACATCATGTCTCACAGTGTGTCTCGTCCCTTTTTAACAGCATGTGAAGAAAATTCAACATTATTGTATTAAATACACTCAGAGCTTCACGTCTTTTCCTCTGAAGATCGAACAGCTTCATGAAGAAACATGGCTGCATCCCGCAGGCCTCTCGGCGCCTGAAGGGGGCGTATCTCAGAAGTCCCGCCCCTCTCTGTGTTCACCTGAAAAACGGAGGGTCCCTCTGTGGTCGGACACAGAGTCGTCCTGGTTTAGATGGAGCTCCTGCGTTTATTCAGTCTCCTGTAGTTACTGATGCTGTGCAGACCCGTGGAGACGGAGCTGATGCCCGAGTGGCGCTGCAGACTGCAGACGCAGCCGTTGGAGTGGAGGGGGTTGGAGAAGGCCTCCCCCTGCTCCATGTAGGTGTCCGAGTTCGAGAGGTCCCGTGGGATGATCATGGGGATGGAGTACTGCAGCTTCTCTCTGCTCTTGTACCAAAGACAGGAGCACATGGACTGAAAATGCAGAACTTCGGCGTAGACGTTACGCAGACCCCTGCTGGCTGCCCCGCCCCCGCTGCCTCCAACTCCGCCTCCCCCGCCTCCGCCGCACCCAGAGGGCGTGGAGGAGGTGGAGGTGGGGTCTACAGGACAGTGGATGTGTCCTCCAGCCTGGCCGTTGTGAGCGAGGAGAGCCCTCTGCTCGGCGTCCCGCTTCTCGTCCTCGGCGTTCATGGTCATGAAGCGAAGGACGGCTAAGTTGAGGAACGCTCCAATCACAGCCAGGCCGGTCAGGATGTAGATGAAGCTGAAGGCCACGTAATCCAGTTTGGTCTGCAACGCGTGCTCCTTCTGCAGCGCCACGTAGTCCCCGAAGCCGATGGTGGTGAGCGTGATGAAGCAGTAGTAGAAGGCGTGGAATAAGCTCCACCCCTCAAAGTGTGAGAAGGCCAGCGCTCCGACGCAGAGCGTGCTCATGCAGGAGATGAAGCCGATGATCACCATGTTGGCCATGGACACCTCTGTGCGCCTCATGCCAAGGCAGTTCTTCAAACGGTGGAGCAGGTCCCTGACGAAGGTGTTGATCCGCTCACCCACGCTCTGGAACATGACCAAGGTCAGAGGGATACCCAGGAGGGCGTAGGCCATGCAGAAGATCTTCCCTCCGTCCGTGCTGGGGGCAGCATGACCGTATCCTGAGGGGGGAGGAGAGAGAGGAGCAGGGTTACTGAGGTAGAACCACAGAGCAGAGGAGGGTCTGGAAACCTGAATGAAACAGACTGATTGATATTCCTCCAGCAGCACTTCAGACAAACTCAAAGGCTCTTCATTTCACACTCGCAAAATGCAATTGAAGATGAGAATGCACAGCAGTGTGGCGGCAGCAGCGGCGGCAGCAGCGGCGGCGGCGGCGGGGATGACCAAGTATTGATGTCAGGTATGGGGGACTCAGCCTGAATAATTCATTGACCATCCCTCACAGCGGAGAAGCTAATGAGAGAATTTTCACCACCTTTAGTCCTCCACTCCGGTTAAAGGTGGAGTAACCAGGACTCCGTTAAAGAAGCACCTTTTTTTTATGGCTTATTTACAAAAACTCTTCTAATATCAGTCAATAGTTATTAGTTATTGATGACATTTGGTAATATATCGATATCTCTGTGTTCTCTTATGTCTGTGTCGTCAACATTTGAACATTTTTGAGCGGTCCGCTCTTTCTGACTGTAAACAAAGCCGTTCTCCACCTCCTCTAACCTGATTGGTTGTGAGGCAGACGCTGCTCCCCCGTGTCGTTCAGGAGCCCAAACAAAGTTAGCGTGCTACAATATCGGACAGTAGAAACCAACCAGAAAGTTCGGAAAATTGTCTGAATCCTCCTTTGGCCACGACTGCCGACACAAGCAAGAAAACAGTCAACCATAATCAGTCAGCAAGAAAACAGTCAACAAGAAAACAGTCAACAAGAAAACAGTCAACACCAAACCAGTCAACAGGAAAACAGTCAAAAAAAAAACAGTCAGCAAGATAACAGTCAACAAAAAACAGTCAGCAAGAAAACAGTCAACAAGAAAACGTCAACCATAATCAGTCAACAAGAAAACAGTCAACCATAATCAGTCAAATACCGGAGACTCTGGAGGAATAACGGGCGCTTAAAACGGAGGTAGACCGGACAAGAGCTAAAAAGCCGGGTCAACATAAACGATGGGGGACGCTTGGGGATCTTGGTGACCCTGTAACCTTTCTGCTGGACAGGTAAACCGCTTTAACAAAGTAAGACAAGTGTCTGTAACAGAAGTGTTTCTTGTCAAACGGACCTGCTGTAGCGTGTTGTAGCGCCATCGCTAAACTGTCCTCCCTCGGGTCCTGGACTATGTCACTTTATCCTCGTTGTAGAAGTCCTGCAAACATTGTGTTTGCTGGTAGTCTGTTGGCATCTACAGTAGCACCAATGCTTTTGACTTTCACCTTGACTGGGCCCCATTTGTAATGATCTGAAGTATTTATCTGCATTATATCTGAATTTAAGCAGGAGTGTCTGTTTGTGGGCGGGGCTTGAGGGGAGAGGAGGAGCTGAGGGGAAAACTGGTTGGGAGGGGTAGAGTTTACATTCAAGATTTCTCCTAAAAACTGGAACTAACTCAGATCCTGACTACAACACCTTTAAAATATAAACATAAAAACACAGAGAGAGAAAAGAAGAGGCCTTTTGGTCCGAGAATCTAAATCCTCTTTAAAAATAAAACCTCTGACGTGTGTTTTTGTGTTTTTGTGTTTTTGTGTTTTTATCTTTAGAAGAGGATAACTCAGGACACACTCCTCACACGGCCCAGCTCATGACTGTTGGCACTAATTTGATCTCCCATTCATCATGTCAGGTGGAGCGTCCACCTTTTCTCTCATGACGTCATCCTTCCCTTTTATCGTCTCACTCGAATCACCGCTGCCCACGATTTATCCCCCTCCCCGCTCGGTGTGGACCTGTTGCTCACAGGAGCTGGAAGATGACGTGCGTGATAACAAAGAGATCGGCAAATGGAAAAGGTTGACCAACAGTTTGAATGTAATTACTACGAGAGTTGATTTAATTCTGCAGGCTCTGGTTTTATTGTCATGCTGATCTGTGCCGTAAAGCCATCTGTCTGTCTGCTGCCAAATCGGTTTAAAGCTCGCCCGATTTGTGCCGCCGAAATGAAAGCCATTAAAGTTGATGTATCTCCCCGTGGAAGGAAAAAGCAGACCTGGTGCCAAGCGGGGAGACATTTTGCTTTTTAGTGGTGTTGCCGTTTTGTGAGTCTTTAGTCATTTCCTGATGACAAAGAGACAACCGAGATTACTCTGTTGTCATTGGTCCTGGATTTATCGCAGTCCATTTCACCAAACGGACCATTTTCTGTCCAATTATATGCTATAAAAACAGCTTTAACATCAACAACAGATAATCCTCCCAATTCTCTCCATGAAGCTGCTGTCTGCTGAACTCAATTATCCCTTTTATCGACCACAGAGGCTCTTTGTTTCAACTTTAAAAAGCATATGTCCATTTTTAACAATCAGCCTTTAAATACTCGAACTCTTGGATAATCATTTATCCTGAGAACTTGATCAATGTGGGGGGGTACAGTGGATATAAAAACTGGTTTAAGCGTGTGCATATTTATGCAACCAGGTTATTTTAACTTTTCTATTTTTTATTTTTCCCCTTGAATGTTTCAGTTTACAATCCCACAATCCAATAAAACCTAATCCAACAAAAAACGCTTCCATAATGTCCGGACCAACCCCAATCTGCAATGTCATCTGAACCAACTTCCAGCCAATCATATAGCGTGACGCCAGATCTGCCCCGAGCTGATCTAGCAGCGGGAACACATCTAGTACCAACACCGGGCAGCTGGAGAACAGCCGCCCTGTTCTTACATTTTAAACAAAAATATCCACATTTGTCAGAGTTGGCAGGATGAGATTTTGTGGAGGTCAAGATAAGCCAGAACGGGGCGCAAAGATGGCCGAGCGGGCTAGCGCGCCCCATGTATGGGGACCATGGTCCTCGCAGTGGTTGTGGGTTCATGTCCGGCCCTGACCATATGCGGCAGGTCCTCCCCACTCCATCTCTATCTCCCCACATTTCACCCTATCCTATCAACTAAACACAAAAATCGCCAGGACTGCTCTGTCCACAGGGGGCGCCAAACCTAACAAAAACATAAAGTCTCTCACAGGAGCTTTAATCTGTAATTTCATGTCAGTATTAAAACTGTTTATTCCCAGCGTATATAACTGCAATCTTTTTTAATATTTGTTGTTCCTAACATTTATTTGTCTTTCTCGTTCAGACTCCTGGTCAAACGCAGTCATAAATAAACGCTGACCCGGTACAGTAAGAGCAGAACAGCGTGTTCAGGTGAGCGCGGGCGCTGAGCTGTCGGCCTGTCAGGCTCTGTTAGCGGCGGGCTGAAGCTTATCAAGACATCGGGACAACAGGAGTGACAGCATCACTCATCACCAGCAGACGTAAGAGCCGCGGGCGACAAGGCCAGCAGTCGAGAGGCTCGCATGACAAACTCATCTTCGCTGAGCTTCTCCGCTCTCTCACACAAATGTGACGCAGTGCTGTGAGCAGTCTGCAGGCCTCTGGGGCCACCAGGTGTGCTAGATCACTTCCATCCGGAGAAACTTCCATCCTAACAGCTCTGAAAGGTAAAATAATGGAGCAGAGAAGTTTGAGTGTCATCTAAACAAACCCAGACTCCTGTACCGTCTGTTAGTTTGACAGTCCATGCAGTCAGGATTTACAAACCTCCAAACAAACACTCACTCCTCCTTCCTGGAAGCTCAGTTTGAGTCCCAGTGTGAAGAGTGACTAACAAGGACTTTGCAGAAACCAGTGGCTAATTGTCTCCTAATGTTATTCTAGTAATTATCATTTCAAAGAAGAATTGTTGAGCGCTGACAAAAGCCTTCGAAGAACGATCAGACAAAACAAACAGGCAGGAGGGGCTCGAACACAGGTGCACTGTCCTCAAACCTCTTATTCCCTCCTCCTGCTCGCCTGCCTGCTGCCGCCTCTCATTAGGGAATCCTAATTCATAACCAATCATCTTAGCTTAAGCCTCCAGCAACAGGCTAATAGCCTTGATTTAACTTCTCCAGAACAAACCGTCACAGCCAGAGGAGGAATATTCCCTCATGGTGTCTTTGCTGTCCTTAAAATGCTGCTAATGTTTCCTGACATGGAGATCAGACCTTCAGCTCTGTGGACAGAAACGTCCTTTAATTTATCAGAGAGATGACGACTTTAACTCCTGCAGACGACTGTAAACACACATGAAAAATACCATCAATAACTGAAGGGTTAGACTTAAATATCTACTTTATATCAAACCACACCGTCAGATCTAATTTCAACCGTCTAGATTCTGTATATTTTCAGACGTTGCACTTTAACCCTTTATTCAATAACTATTTCAAAAATCAACTGTGAGTTTCATAACTGATCTCCAAGTACTTCACCTAAATAATTATGATAGCCATTGAGCAATATACAGTTTAGTATAGATATAGCTCACATTTAGACTTGGTCTAAAATCTTTCATTTTAGACCTGTGGTAGTCCTGATTTCAGACCAGTCATCTCGGCTACATTTAGACTGAAAAATGCTCTGTGTGATAAAACAGGTTTAAGTGATGATACTAAAGTCTCTGTTTGTGGACACAGGCCCTAAACTGGTTTAACTAGAAGTGAAAACAGAGATGTTGTTGTGTACACATGAATGAGATGGGAAATCAGTAGAAAACATGATTATTATGATTATTATTATGATAAATGTGAACATTAAGACTCTGTTTTCTGAACGACTCCACCACAGTCCAAGTTTAAACTCTTTATCCTTCACTTTTCTTTGAGGACGGCGGTGATGGATGAGGGACAAAGCGGGCATGGATACTCAGGCAGCCACTCTGGTGTTACGGCACTAATTACTAATTAGTTAGAGATAAAAACAGGCTTTAAAAATACATGAAAGACTGGCACAATGTGCCCGTAAGAGCTCTGGTTCTGTTACCCGATTAAATTTTCATTGATTACCAGGAACAATTTGTTCTGACCAGCAGGACGACGGGGAACAGCAGAGCCTGTTTTTTTCAGCATCACCTGACCTCCCCAGGAACCAATGAGACTCATGAAACAAGAATATGCAAAGAAGCCTGAAAAGGTGAGTTCACACAGTCCCTCCTCTGGGACTGGAATTACAATCATGTAATGTAATGCCACATGTTGTATTCACATACAGTACATTCAGCAGGAACTCTCCATGGAGCCCCTGAGGTCCCGGGAGAGGAGGCGACTGGATGTGTACGACAGCAGCAGCAGTGAGTCTCTGCAGGCTTCGGTGGTGACTGATAATGTCCTCAGAAGTTTCACCCTGGGAACCGAGCAGAGCCGCACAGCTGAGCGAGACACAAGTGAGTGTGGTGCCGGGTTTCACTCCAGACTGAGAGGCAGAGGTCCAACAGGAGTCTTTAGAGCAGTTTAATGAGAGGAAGAGAGGAGTCCTCACTTTAGGAATAATTTACAAGTGTCGGCGTTCATGCATTAAAAGGACGAGGAGTTTTTGTCAGGGGTTGGGTAACATGGAGCGAAACAAGTTATCCAACTCCTTTTATTCACAAACTGATTAATATTTATGTGTTTAATTTACTAAACATGTGAGAATGACGAGCGACAATCATGATCTGAATTATGTCCATTTAACTCAGTCTGTTTGGATCAAGTTAGAACCAAATTAAACTAACCCCGAATTTCCTCCACATCCTGATCGTCTCCTAAAAGGTCGTATCCTCCGATCGTAGCTGATCGTAACCATTCAAGTTAACGTGTCAATTTACACCGACTTCTTTCCGTTCCTCTGCAGATCGCCGGACTCCTCAGCTGATCACAAGAGTTCTATTTTTTCTGGAAAGGAAGTCGGGGACAGACACAAAATAAAACATCCGACTTCTTTTCAAAATAAACGGGCGGAGACGAACAAGTGAAAGGTTTTTAGACGTCATTTCACCCCGATGACACCATGGTTGAGGAGATGCTGATTCTAGAAGTCTAGAAGTAGATTTCCTCCTCTGGAAGGACACAATCTACTGCTTGTATAGTTAGCCTATGTGGCTAACCATACAAGACAACTCGTTATCGTGCGATTACACTTAATTCCGCGGGTTCTTGTGAGTTCTCGTGATTCCTGCTGTCCGTAATCCACCATGAAATTCGCCTCACAAACGGATCTGGTAGGAATTGGTGGAAAAATCGCCGCCGTTCTGGACCGGAGTCGTTCCAGATGCGGTAAAAATCCCGGGTTATGCCGAAGTGCTGAAAACTGCAGTACCTCACATGTCCACTTGAGGCCCATCACAAAAGCACAGAAGCCACATACACACCCATTCAAAAACAGGCTTCAAAACCAGCTGATGACTTATTATCAAACTAAAACTAAAGAAAGAACATTTTAAATTATATCATTTTAAGAAAAAAGGAACAAAATAATAAAAATAAAATATATCTATAAAATAATAAGATTCTGTAAAACTCTGTCTGTGATCCCAGTCTGTGTTTTTAATATCTGTACTTAGAGGTCGTGACGGTAAAACCTGAGTCACTGTAAATAAATTCCTCCTGAAACGCCGGAGCGCGCTCAGAGGTGTGACACACTATCATAACATTCAGCCGTAAATGGTCAACCCAGTTTTTCTCGGTGACGTCACTCTTATCTGAATCTACGCTGCAGAGAGCGGAGGACACGCTGTATCACTGTACAAATAAACACGACCGTGTCATGTGTGTCGGGTACAGACTGTCTTAGAGCAGCGGCCCACTCCTCTCCCAGCATGCCCCCCTCCTCCGCTCCTCCGCTCACTTTCATCTCCAGCTGCCTCTGACCACAGATACCAGTACACGACCCCACACACTCTAACTCTTGTCTGTGGATAACACCCAGAGATGCTACGTCAAAAAAACGTCTATTAGCCCCCGTTTCCCAAGAGTTCTGTCTCATCCCTGTCTAAAAGACGGCCCCAAAGACCCCATCAGTCCTCCGCCACAGACACCCCAAACTCCAGACGACCCCGTGAATGTTTATTCAGGCACTCAAACACATCTACTCTACACCCTCTTCCCTCCATTACTCTGTTCAGCTTTGACCCACGGGGGCTCTGCTGACAGCTGCTGTGTAATGTCCGTGTGTGAGAAAGCAAAGATTTCCAGGAGTGTAAATAAATATAACTGAGAGGATTCAGGCGGCGCCGAATCCTTTTCACTCTCTAAATTATACTTTACTGTTGTTTCAGGACTCAGTTTGGCCTGTTTTAAATCAGTAAGCAATAATGTAGAGGTACAACCAGGCAGGAACCTCCAGTCTTCAGAAACGAAGCTGATGTAGAAGTGCTAAAACTGCAGTACCTTACATGTCCACTCGGGGCCAGCCACAAAAGCACCAGAAGCCACATACACACCCATTCAAAAAGACAATTTTTACAACAAAAACAAACATGTTTACAGCCTGGTTGGAAAAAAAAAAAATCTGAACAGCATCGACAATTATAGAAGTAACAAGATCGACCAATCAGAGGCACAGCTGCTGAAGACACGCCTCTGATTGGCTGCCAAACACCGCCTCAAAAACAAACAGGAGCTTTACACCAGGATTCCGTGGCATGCAGATCCGCGGCGCTCCGGAATGGCCGATGGATCAAGAACACGAGCATACAGCGCCCACGGGATCGGATCCGCTGCCGCAAGCGGAGGACAAGCGATTGCGATATTACCGATATTTCTCACAACACTGGACGAGATCTCGCGTGTTTCATCGTGAGACACTGAAGGAGATCGACGGTGTGTATAACCACCCACATCCCACAATTCTGGGCCCTCCTATTATCACGTGAAGAACAGTTCCATATATCGACTTTATTTTATTTTGAAAATTAACCGGGTATTTTACTTTGAAGCAGCGTACAACCTCTGCTGCCGCTCATGCTGCGCTGAATTGATGCGCTATGCTGCGGCGTCCAGCAAAAATAGAAGCCTTGTGTATCCCCAGTGGAGCTTGACGGCGGACGCATTGTGTGGAATCACGCATATTGATTATAATTGATTATAATACTAATGTAATTGATCAGGCTGCCGTTCCAGAGCGGAGCGCGTCGCAGCACAGCCGTTCCATATCTTGTGGAATTTAGCCGTTAAATACGACAGTGCGGTCTCTTTAAAGTTTATTTTTATAATACTGATTAAAATACAGTCTGTCACGGTGGTTCAAAAGCGTGAATAAATACCGTCTATTTACCGTGAATCAAAGCGTCGTTCTCTCTGTGGTCTTTAAAATAACATTAGACTAAAGTCAGTTTGGCACCGAGGGAAAATATCGTCTTTTCAGAGTATTTGTGACGAACTTTGTCATTTTTCTATACAAAAAAACAAAATGAACCAAGTTAACTTTGAGTTTATTCTGCTGCTGCTGTCAGCACTGAAAAATAGTGGGAATAATCTCTCCAATCAAACTTTCATTATCTGCTCTGATGGTGGAAAAACAAGCCAGAGAGAGAGAGAGAGAGAGAGAGAGAGAGAGAGAGAGAGAGAGAGAGAGAGAGAGAGAGAGAGAGAGAGAGAGAGAGAGAGAGAGAGAGAGAGAGAGGGAGAGAGGGAGAGAGAGAGAGAGGGAGAGAGGGAGAGAGAGAGAGAGAGAGAGAGAGTGGGGCAGACGTGATGGATTCACCACAAGCAACCTGATGCAACACCAGAGGAAACGGCGCGTTGGCAGAGCGTCTGTCTGGGTTCACTTTAACTCGGTTACCCCTGTGTGGGCTCCAAATCTGGCCCGGGAGCATGTGCTGTCGTCCAGCGTCACAGCTGAGGCCCAAACACTGAAGCAGACCAAAGAGAGCGGAGCTGCTGTCAGACAGAGAGCCGGATCTACCTGAGCTCACAGTCACTCAGTACACTCAGGTTATCTGCACAGCCTCTCATTCTCCATCAGAACCTCCGTCTGTGAGTGTCCAACCAGCCAACTCTTCTGTTTTGCTTCCACTGTGAAAAAAATCCCCCATCCTGGTCTATTTTCAAAAGTACTCCTTGGGTTCCTTTTTAGGGGATATGAGAGGGAAACCTTGGCAGGCCGCAGTTTTCCATGAGGTCAGTAAGCGCGGCATTCCAGGCGGAGTGTGAGATCTCAGGGAGGGTTGGGTAATTAAATATATTCCCTGATTTATGTACCTGATACACAGTTGATACGGACTTGTTTTAAGACTCAAAACACAGCTGGACCGCCTGAGAGCCGGCTCGCGTACACATTTACTGTACGAGAATGAGAGGAGGAGTGGAAAAAGGTGAAGTAGGGAACAGATTCCAGAGGGGAGGACAGCTGAGAGCAGAAAATCATGGTGAAGGTGGATTTCTTTGTGGGCTTTTAGGGGGTCAACACAGGCAACATGGACCTGTTTAAAGAGCTTAATCTGTCCGTGTGGGCAGGAGGAGAAAAGAGCTAATGTGATCGTGGAGTTTAAAATGGGCTCTTTATGGAGAAACACAATGTGGTTAGTGTTCATGATGGTGTAAAAGCACCTGCTTTAAAGAGACAGGAGTGAATTCAGACGACACGATCGCTGTTTCAGTAACAAACCATAGAAGTGTGTGGGCTTACTGCCTTATAATTAGAGACATGCCTTAAAACCGTTTACAGTTTACACCTTAAAATACACAGTTTATTAGATATTCACCAAAAGTGAGAGCTAACATACTCTACAGGTGGATTAGCCGACAGAAATGGACATCTGGATGAAATAGTTGGATGTCAGTTTGAAGTTTGAAAGTTAACTTCTAATGAGGGTCACCATTAGTTCTCTTACCCAGACACGTCCTCTTTTTGGGGGCTGTACGGTTTTGTCCGGGGGAGTTTATAAAATCCTTCAAATGTTCGGGGTTTTGTTTGGAAGTTTTGAGTTTGTGTAGCGCAGACTTAGTAAGTTAGAAGTGCGTAAAAACACTCGACTTCACCCGAAAAACCCTCAAAATTTTGTATGCAACTCTGCCCCCTGTAGTCGTGTCGTCTTTTAAGGGATTCAGAGTACGGTCACCCTATTTTAATATTTTAATAAGATATTTAAAAGTAGCGAGTGAATAGTAGTGATAACATTAGCAGCTGTTGGTCGTGGGTTCAAACGTTGGTTCAGTCTGTCACTCCAGCGAGTCGTAGCATCGATCCAAAGCTGAATGAATTAAACTCTATGTTCAGGGTTAGTCTGATCTAGGGCTGGGCGATAAACCCAAAATTTACGATAACGGAATTTATGACAATAACCGACGTCATTTTGCCTATGTCGGTATATGCGGTGTAAAAAAACTAAATAAATCAAAGTTAGTTTTGGATGTGTGTAGGTAGGCTATGGTCTCATGTCCCTTTAAGACGCTGTCCTACATCAGAGACGTGACTCCGCCCCATCCAGTCTGTAACAAAGAGGGAAAGACAGGTGAGGAGATGGAGGACGGAGAGAAAGTTGTAGCAGCTGAAGTAGACGAACTGATCAATATATCGTGATATTGATTTGAGGCCATATCGCCCAGCCCTACTCTGATCAGATGAATGTTTTTGTAGATCCAGTTTAAATCTGCAGAAGAAGAAGAGACCGTTTTCTGTTCATGAGGTCATGTGACACGTCTGCAGGTACATCAGACAAACATGTCTGCGAAGCTCTCCCTTCAGAGTTCAGTGAGCATAATTAGTCACAGATGTCACAGCTGATGATGGCGGCGGGAATGACGAGGATGAATTTCTGTGGAGTATAAAAAGCGCCGAGACACACTTAGATCCAGACGAGGAAGTGGGCCAAGTGTGAATGAGGAGAGGTTCGCTCAAATTCACAGATTTGATCCGTCTGCGCTCTAAAAACAGACGGTTTGTTTGGGCCACGCGTGGTAGTGAACGCACAGCTGATCCCGGGGAACGCCAACAACACGCCGCGGTTGTTAATCCCGACACGTTTGAGGGGGTCTCTCTGGTTCAGCAGAGGAAAAATCGAATGTGGAAACAGTCCAGCTCCGTCTCTTTGCAAAACAAAACCTACGTGAGGAGTTTGCTTTATTTGGACACGGGGGGTTTCACGCCCACCTCGTGAGTTCTGTAATCTGGACTGCAGCTGGGTGATGTTTTATTCAGTTAAACGCTCCTTTCAAAAATAGCTGCTGCTCGTCTCGCCATCTTGCTCCTCTGCGTTTTTCTGTCACTCACATTTCTTCTCCTCTGCTCTCTGTCCTCTCAGCCTCTAATTCAAACAGATGTATTTGCTCTTTATTTACAGCCTGGCCCGCTCAGGCACCTGCCTCTGACACCTGACTCCACCGATACATATTCAGGCGCCGTGTCCCCTGTTCAGCTGCTCTCAGGGACCAGATGCTGTCCTAACTGACGGACGGGTGCCGGTTCAGAGGAACGAGACTTCAGCTGGAACAGAACACATACGGATCGGTTTACTCAGGAAGACGGAGACAATATGGAAAAACCCGGATTACAGGAGCGGACAGGTGAACGGAGATTAACATCAGAGTCAGGTTACGATCATTTAAATCCAATTTGACAATGAGACAGAGTCACTTCCTGTCAGCTGAAAATCATGAACTCCATAACCCCATGTGTTTTTATTTCTTTATGCCGACGATGTTTCACTGTTTCATCAGAGAGTTGAAGACTTTTCTGCTTCATTTCTGAGAGGAAAATCATATTTATTAAATCATGTTTTGGAAAGAGACGCCCAACACTCTGAATCAGACTTCTCTCCTCGTCCTCGTTTACATGCAGCTGAGAAAATCCAAATTATTGACATGAGCGTGTCCTCCTCCCCAACACTAGGGGGCGATATGGGTCTTTTCAGCGGCACTGTTTCCGACCCCATACAACAAACAAGAAGATGGAGCATCGTACAGCGTTGTTTTTGTCCGACATGATGGACGCGCTACTTTTTCTAAAGATGAGACCAACGCTACTCCTCTACTCTTCTCTACGGGGGTTTCGCGCACGCACACATGCATTGTCCGATCATACTCCGACTACGCTGGTTACATGGTAGAGATAATCGCATTCCAATCTCATTATCTGGGTGTCTTAATCAGAGTTCTCAAACTGCGATTATAGTCGGACTAAGGTGTTTACATGACCTTCAGTTGTCCGGTCTTTATCGGAGTAAGGCGATAATTCGGTTTTCTTGAGCGTCATGGAAACAGACTGACTGTTTCATCGGAGAGTTATAAACCTGTCTGCATTATTTCTGAGCAGAAAATCTAATTTGTTAAATCAAGTTTTGGAAGAGGATAACCAACACTGATGTCCAGGTTTAAGGTTCGAGATTTTAACCTCTGAAGAGTAAACATGCACCAAGAAAACTCATGATCCATCAGCAGCTCGAGGGAGAGAAAAAGACGATCATCAGGCTTTAGTGACCATTTTTCTTTTTTGTTTCTACTCACTGTTTTCAGGGACAACATTACATCTGCTAAAGTGCCAAATAAGTTTATAAACCAGTCTGAAATAGTCCACTTGGTGTGACTTTGTGATTGGTTTATATTCCTGATATCTGGACCAGTGTGTTTCTGTCTAACCTCCATGTTTCTGCAGGACCGAGTTTAATTCCACTGAGTTTGATTTAAAATAAAATGATGTTCTATGTTTTTTATTTCTATAATTAGACGCTGATATCTACAGGAGATGTGTGTGTGTGTGTGTGTGTGTGTGTGTGTGTGTGTGTGTGTGTGTGTGTGTGTGTGTGTGTGTGTGTGCGTGTGTGTGTGTGTGGTCCTCTGACAGCAGCTTTCTACAGCAGACATAAGTGCCCATCAGCGCCGTGTGACTCGCCTCACTGCCGCACTGTAAAGCTATCGTGTCGTATGACATGTCATGTGATGCATGAGGCTGATGCTAACACCTGACTAAACGACCTGATGCAATTAAATGGAGTAATGGGTCTTATTATAGCCGAGCGTGAGCCCCCTCAGCGCACCGCCTGCTGCTCCTCGTCTCTGAACATTTTGACGCTTTCGTCATTTTATCTGTTTGGTGCAGAACTTTCTGAACGACTTCGACAAACTGCGAGAGAAGAAATCTGACCGTGAGCCGTCTCTGATAAGAGGAGGCGGTCTGTCAAGGCTGGTACTGAGCGCCAAAAACACGTGGACTCTGGGGTCTGAAGAAGCTGAACATCCAGATAATGAGATTTTACATTTTCTCCTGTTTGTTTGTATCTCAGACTCACTGACAGACCCCAGAGGTGTGTTGGTGATGTGGCCTCACAGAAGTTCAGGTCAGACCTGGTTAACAGATCTTTTCTGGTCTCTGTGGTTGGTTCAGTATCACCAACAGAAAACTTATCATATGGGGTTCCACAGGGTTCAGTTCTGGGTCCATCTCTCTTTTTATTTACTTGCCTTCTCTTGATAATACCACCTGTAAATGTAAATATAGTGAATACAAATTTACTGTTATGCCGACGACACACATTTTTACATCCTAATCAGACATCACAACTATTCAAACGATGTGAGACGACTTTTTATCACGAAATGAGAACAAATCTGAAATTACTGTGAAAGTCGGTCTAATAGCTGTGAGCGTGAATAGAATAGAATAGAAAAGAACAGAATAGGATAGAATAGAGTAGAATCGATAAAAAGATAGATAGATATGGTTTTATTTTTGATTTTAAGTAAATCCTTAAAAAAGGAATAGACTAAAGCAATAGAATAGAATAGAATATGTTGCGTTCCAGTTACCTTGGCGGTCAGATGTCCAAGCTAAGAATGACGTCACACCCGAACTACCAGCGCCAAGTCGGAAGAAAAAAAAATCGGAGGCAGAAGCGGAGATAGCTACATCTACGAAAATTATTTTAGCGCTTGTCCTTGCTTATATTCGTATGAGGCAAGCACTAAAATAACTTTGGTAGATGTAGCTATCTTGTTTCCGCCACAGATTTTGCTTTTTTCCAACTTACGCTGGTAGTTCGGGTGTGACATCATTCCCAGCTCAGACATCTGACTTCTGAGGTAATTCAGAACTCGAACGCAGCAATAGAATAAAATAGAATAGAATAGAATAGAATAGAATAGAATAGAAAAGCCTGTCTCTGTGTCTGTTGTTCTTAAACTGATGTTGTTTGTGTTTCTGAGGTCTGTTCCTGTTTTCAAAGATGGTGGATTTGATAAAAATATGTGTTTTGAACAGATTCCTGCGGCTCAGACATTGAGAGTGACCATGACTGCTAAATGACCATCAGGCTTTAATTGGGCTCCTCATCACCTTGGTGGGCGAACCGCCGCCTCAGGCGCCACATATGGCGTTAGCAGATAGACAAACAGAGGAGGAGGAGGAGGAGGAGGAGGAGGGCGGCAGCTCCGCCTCCGCTCAGTCCGCAGGTTCACCCCAACAGATCTGCAGGACTGTCTCCAGCTCAGATACTAAACTATATTAAAACTGAAGTAAAATCAGATTTACTGCATTAACACTGTTATAGACTCTGACGGTCTGGACAGGGTCTGATCTTTTATTTTGATTTAAACTAAACAAACACTCATTATTAACGGACTTTTTTTTTGGTAAGAAACAGGTTCGACTTTCACTGATCGGCAGTAACCGAACACCTTCAGCCTCATCCGTTTCATCGCTGCTGTGATTGGTCGTTGGTTCACGGGCAGATCGGCGTGAATGATGTCTTCAGTTTCACAAACTCACTTCCTGTTGTTGTCGTTGTTTTTGAGCGGTGAGAAATCTACAGTACTCTGTAACTGGAGGGCCTTTCAATCGAGTTTGCCCATAATTGGACTGATTGTTTTCTTTTCACAGTAAAAAGCTCTATTATTAGTCCGGATCCATTAAGCAATCTTCGGTTTATGAGAATGGACGGAGATGAGTCTTCTCATGAGGACATACTTCACTTTAATGATGGGAATGAGGATCTTTAGAAAACCCACGATGATCACAAACAGAAACTGTTTGTCATTGTTATGATTTGTTGTAAATTATGTAATCACTACTTATTCAAAATGAGGACACACAAACTTGGACAGAAGACAAATCTGCTTCAGTCAAGGACGACATGTTTTAACCTCCAATCTTAATATTATAGTAGTTTGGACGAGTTATGGAGGTCGGTTCACGGTGCCAAAAATGATGATTAGCTAAAGAAAACTGAATAATTACAGACGGTTCATACTTTAACGGTGTGAATATAGCAGCACAGTTTGTGACACATGAAATAAAAAAGCAGGATGTAATAATATCTGCTGAAACAGAAAGCCTCGGAGAGTTTCAGACTCTGCTGACTTCCTCACCTCCGCACAGCTGGCGTTTCGGACCCGGAGGGTTTTAAACGTTTCACTGTCGGTTTCAAAAAGTCACTGAAGTTGTTGGACATCAAAAACGATGCCGGAGGGGGGAGACGGGTTTACTGAAGCTGTTTGTCCATCCAAAAACCACTTCTGATGGAACATCGTGGTACCATCGGGCCCCCCAGTTCATTTAACACAGGGAGGGGGTCGGTGCAGATGGTTTCAGTGGAACAGCTGAACCTGGATCCTCTTTGACTGAGTGACAAGCTTTGGTTCGTTTACATACGTCTGAGCCAACATTCCTCACTTTGACTCTCTGTTATCTCTCATGTTTGTATCTCTCTGTTTATCTTCACTAATCTCTCTCTTTTTCTCGGCAGATGGATGACAACCAACAGATCTGGTTCGTCTCGAGGTTTCTGCCAATTTAACAACAATTCTGTGGATTCATGTTGGACACCTGCTAATCATCGGACAAATGCAAGAATACTAATCCAGGGAAATCTTCTTTTTGCATTTTGTTTCAACATCTTTTCAACACCCTTAATAAGTGGATTTCCACCAGCTCCTCCTACGGGGGGATTCCCAGGCGCTCCCAGGCCAGGCGAGAGATATAATCCCTCCACCTGGTCCTGGGCCGACCACAAGATCTCCTCCCGGTGGGACATGTCTGGAACACCTCTAACAGGAGGCGTCCAGAAGGCGTCCTAACCAGATGCCCGAGCCACCTCAGCTGACTCCTCTGGAGGTGGAGGAGCAGCGGTTCTCCTCTGAGCGCCTCCCGAGTGTCCGAGCTCCTTCCCCTATCTCTAAGGCTGAGCCCGGACACCCTGAGGAGGAAACCCATTTCAGCCGCTTGTATCTGCGATCTTGTTCTTTCGGTCATTACCCAAAGTTCATGACCAGAGGTGAGGATCGGCACGTAGATCGACCGGTAAATCGAGAGTCTGGATTGTGTCACTTTATCTCATAAACCACATTACTGAAGATGCTGTTCACACTTAAGCCTCTGGGGGGCAGTAGAGGTAAACCAGGTGATGCAGCAAATATCGCAATTTGAACAAACAAGCGTAGAAGATAAATTTTTTAACCTGAGAGAAAAATACGAGAGCATTTCAGGTTTTTACAAACACCCGTTTTAATTTTGTTTATAAAAATTCTGATAATAAATATTCAGCACTGACGCTTTTTATCAACGATGAAGACGAGACGATGACGAGCTAAACTACATCAGGAATAAGAGAAACTCAGACTAATACAGGTTTTGTAAACAAGATGACGATGATGATTGTTCTGGTCGGATGTTTAAAATCCTTCATAATTTCTTCTCTGCAGATCTAAAATATAAACAATGATTCCTGAGACCGTCTGAGTTAGCTGAGGGCCGCAGGGTTAATTCTGTTAATTTTATACAACAAGTCCATCATAATCCTCCTTTCTCCACCCAGACCAGCAGGATGAAAAATCTGACTTTCTTAACTTTTACAAACTAATATTCATATAAAGTTTAAGATTTTGTGGTGAAAAGAGACAGAGCCACTGTTGCCTCCATGTTATTGTCTAAAAATAATGACTATCATAATATGGATCATATCATATCCCGGTCTTAGTATGGTCGGATGTCTCATGTTGAATTCTGGTCTCTGTAAACCCAGTAACCCAGTCCAAACATATCAAACCAAATCCTCTGAGCTGAAATGAATCCGTCCTCGGTCCTGCGATCCGTGACCTCTCCATCTGTTCCAGCAGGATCCTGAGGTGAAGGAAATCCTCATGTTCAGTTTTTTTTTCTCTTTATTTATATTCCAGTATCATCTCTGTGTTTCTGTGAGCTCCTCACTGATCTTCATTTCTTAGGTTTTTACTTCTTCCTCCAGTTTCCTGTTTTATTTTGAAATCCTGTTTCCTCAGCTTGTTGAGTCTAGTTCTACTTCCTTCTTTGATCAGCCATGATTAGTCTCACCTGTGTTTAGTCTGTCACACCTGTTGCTGTTGGTTTACTGTCCTCTAGAGTTCCTCAGATTTCCTGAATTTGGATTTTTGGATTTTTCCTGTCCTTTAAAAATGTGAGTTTTTTTTATTAATTTACCTTTTGAATCTTTATTTTTCAGATCTACCTTTAAGTCTGAACACATGACCCTCCAAACACTCAGACTAGACCTCCTCTTTGGACAGACTCACAGTCTTTTCTTCTTTGACACCAAGTTTAAAAAGGTGACATGAACTCAGGTGAGCTCTGGGATCAGACCCATAACCCCTGACAGCTGTGCCGCCCGGATTATTCCAGAGGAAATGGGTTAGCAAGATATCAGACTGTTGTTAAACTTGTATGAGTATTAAATATGTCCTCACACAGGGGCAAACACAGTTATTGTTATTACTGTTAACCCTCTGTACATGTGTGAGAGAGATTAAACAGACGCTGCAAACAAATTGGAAAAGAAAAACCCCAGAGAGAGTGAAAATATGCCGGTCTGAGCTGCAGACACTTGGCAAAGGTCCGGACAGATCATTCAAGTCCTCTGAGCCAGTTTAGCGTAAAAGCACGGACACACGCTCTGGTCCTCTCTGGTCCTCTCTGGGCTCCACAGACTCTCTGAGAGCCGCTCAGTTGTGTGAAAATCACTCCAGGTTGTTATGATAAGCAAACATAAACACTCAGGACACGTTCCACACCGCTGAGGAGGAGCTGCTGAGGTCTGATGTGGAAAGATTTTTCATGGCACATGTCTGCACTGAGGCAGAAAAGCAGCATCTCTTGGCGCTGTGGAGACAGCTGAGCGCTCTGGGCAGAGATTCAACCCTCAGACGGCGGGTCTGAACCCCCTCCACACTCCACTCGCAGAGAAATGTGTGCGAGCGCAGCGTGTCATGACACTGCGCGCTCCTCGGGGAGATTTCCACTGGTGTGATCGTGTTGGGAGCAGGATATCAGCTTTTTATAGCAGCAGCAGAGGGAAGGAAGCTGCTGCTGTTTGGGTTTCAGAATGAGGAGCTTCCCTCATATCGGGATAAATTTCACTTTTTTCTTAAATGATGTTTCTTCTTTATTTCATGGTGAACGTTATCTGCTCTGTGATGGTGTTGTTTGTGTGTTTTTGCTGTCGGATCGTCTCTGTACAGTAATTCTGTTTATTCAGGAGGTTTTAAAGAGTTCAAAAGGACACAGACACAGACACACAAATGTTCACATACGGAGCGTCTCTGTGTAAACCAGCACCCAAATAAACACTGACAGTCTGCATGTTTGTGTGTCTGATAACTGTGTGTCTCTGTGGTATCATGAAAACAAATGTCCTGATTCTTCTGTAAGCGCTGCTGCTGCTGCTGTGTGTGTGTCTGTGTCTGTGTCTGTGTGTGTCTGTGTCTGTGTGTGTGTGTGTGTCTGTTACAGTCAGATCATTTGTGACATGAATTCTGGATGAATCCTCTGATAGTGATCCATGTTTCTCTGCATTTCTCCCCGACCCAGCAGCGGCCTGGTGTCTGTCTAACATGAGTCTGGTCCTCTCCAGGGTTTCTGCCTGTTAAAAGGAAGTTGTTGTTGTTGTTTTGCCACTGTCACTCATGTTCGATAAGATGAGGTTAAATCTGTCCCATCTTAGGTTGGGTCTTGATTATTCATCAAACAATGAGCGCTGTCTAGACCTGTTTCTTTGGAAAGTGTCTTAAGATGGCGATGTTGTGATTTGGCACTATATAACTAAAATTTGGTTGATTGATTTATTTATTGATTGTGAGCGAACTGCAGCAAATGAATTTAATTTCAAAGACTTTTAAAGATTTTATATTTTTGCAGAATAGCATTAGTATCTGTCGGAGTTGTCGGTCGCACCAGCTGAAGGAATTAACAAATGTACCAAAAAGGCCTGAAAGAAACCCATCTGCCATAAAATAAGCAGTTTTTTGTTAATTTGGCAGTCTGAAGACAAGTCTGGTTCTTTAATATTTAATATTGATCTGATATTTAAGCTGTGGGTGCTGGTGTGAATGGACACAGACCGTTACCTGGACTAGTTTACACCAAGCAGTGACCCCCAATCTCAAATCAGGAAGTCACTCAGTGCGTTTACATCCACAGATTAATCAGACTAAGCTCATAATTTCTTTTTTCTTTGCTGAATCAGACTTCTCTCCTTGTCCGCGTACATGCTGCTGAAATTATTGACGTGAATGTGTCCTCCTCCCCAAAACTAGGGGGCAATATGGGTCTTTTACGGTTGACACAACAACAGCAGGTCGGTGTCAGATGTCAGAAATGTCTACAACTGCTGCTGGGCATTTTGGAGAAACAAGAAGATGGAGCATCGTACATCTTTATTGGAGTTCTCAAATTTCGATTACAGTCAGACTAAGGTGTTTACATGACCTTCAGTTGTCCGGTCTTAATCGGAGTACGGCGATAATTCGGTTTTCTCAAGTGTCATGGAAACAGACTGAGTGTAAATGTGTAAAAAAAACTGCAGTTCTTCAAGTGTCCATTAGAGGCTGGTTACTAAAGCAGAGAAATTCCCCATTGGTCCCTGTTTTTGTTCTCAGCTGAATTAAAGCCTTAAACAATAATGTTAATTGTCCTCTTGTTTATTTATTTACTTTGACCTGCAAACATCTACAGCCTGATGGTGACCAGTTTAACATGAGGGACAACCAGAATTCACGACAGCCCTGATACTTTAAACTATGACACTTGTTTACGAACTTTATTGCAAAAAATCTGTTAAATAAAACACAGTTTTAATTTTTTTACCAGTGACTTTAACATTAAAGAGCATTATTACACATGATCTCCATGCCTATAATGTCAGATTGTCGCTGAATTCAAGTAAAAAAGTCTGAATAACTAAGAGGTTTTATTGTTCTATATTTATAAACAGGACAAATTAACTTGTATGGGTACAAACTGCTGAAATGACACACAAACTAACAATGATAACTACAGTCTGCTGATGGAAATGTTCTGTTTTGAGGGTCTAAATAAACCCCATCCTCCTCCTCCTCCCTGTAGGAAACACGACCAAACAGCTTTATGACCAACATTGTTCCAGGAATCAGGTCCCAGCTGAGCCGTCTGCACTCTCAAACATGTCTCCAATACCTTTCCTTTTCAGGTCAGAAGAGGAGACACGCAGTGACAGAGCCATACTGAGGAGACAGCCCCCCCCCCACGACAATCGGAGTCCACTCTGCACACGGCCGCCCGGTACGTTATTTTACTCTGTGTCTAAGACGGGATCACATCAACTCCATAAAACAAGATCCATCAATGGAAATACGACAAAAATCCTGCAGAAGTTTTCTGTATGAAATCCCAAAAACAGATCAGTGAGGTCAACAGAATAAAGAGCCAAGGTTTGTTCTGGGTTTATACGCTTAATGTTGTGCTGTTGGAAAATGATGTTTATTTAACTCACTGTTTCCCTGAATACGACAAAGAATTAATGTAAATAACAAGAACTTGATCATGTCTATAATCCAATAATCTTCCAGTTTAAGTTACAGTAAGACTCCGACTAAACGGACTGATACTGATCGATCACACATCATCACTGGGGCTTTCTTTGTCTGTTTTGAGTTTCATTGATATTTAAATTTATGAATCTGTTAAATCTGTTAAATCAGCTCCTCCTCTGTCCAATAAGTGAACTTGTCTGCAGCGACCACATCAGACTGATCATTTCTATCAGTGTCTGACGGATCAATAACACACCTTTTACTGATCGACCCTTCACTCCTTCAGTCTTTTTTAACCATAACTGACACCATCAACTCCAGTCATCTCTTCCTCTCTTACTAACCACAGCGATTTCAGAAATAAAATGTATGTAAGGCAACTTTTTCTTTTCTTTTACAGTTGGTCGACTTTTTACCTAAATATTGTATCTCGACATTTATCTCCACGTTGAATGTTTAACTTTTTTATCCGACCTGAGTTTCTTCTTTTGTAAACATTTTAGATCTATTCTCTAAATCTGGACTCTTGTCACCCCTCGTCCTAAACTCCTCTGTAGTTCACAGCATCATTTTAAATTGAGTTTACATTTGTTCCAGGAAAAGTTGACTACAGTTAAAAATGTCCTCCTTATGCCCAGACTGCATTTTTGAACCCTTTCTAGGACATAAACAGTGCAGCAACTGAAAGCAAAACCTGTAGAGCGCCCCCTGGTGACTGGCTACAGCAAAGCCTCCTTCATCACTGAAACCTGAGTCAAACAAACCAAAATATTCACACACCTGAACGTGCTGTTAGTCATGACTGTGTTAATTTTTTGAAGTGATCGGCTTTTTATTTGTGAATCAGTGTTAAAAACCTTGGTGTGACATCATGATTGACAGCTCTGTTCACCAATGAGAGCAGAGAGATGAACACTTACATTAAAGTTATTGAACTTTCTTTCTGTGGTGCAGATTTACAGTTTATGAAGTTTATGTTCCTGCTAAATAAAACCTGATTTTTCTGGATTTAAGGAAACGTTAGAACGACAATAAGAGGTTAAACTCTGAAAACATCAGATACTGATGGGATGCTACTGTATATTTCCATTACAGCGCTCAAGTGTTGAGGGAGCTGTTGCACATATTCGGTGTCAGCATCGCTGGGACACATCTCCGTTAATCTCAAATTTCCACTGAAGGATTAGGATGTAAATTGAGTGTCCAGCCCGGACTAAAAGCTCTGGGTGGTAGAGAGCCGTATAATCTAATATTGAAGGGCCTGAGTTTGTTGGCACTCTTCCATTCAGACACGAAGAAAAACAGAGTTCACATTTCTGATCAAATAAACCTCGCAGCAGGCGTCGGTTTCTCCCCGAGTAGCTGAGACTTCACACGTTTATCTGTATCTGCGTTTATCTGAGAGGAAAACTTCCAGAGAGAGAGAGAGAAACACGCTCAGATCCCTCTATACCGACTACTGTTGTATTTGGTTAAAGTCCAGCTGGGCCCCACCGGGTTATGAAGTCTAATAAATACAAAGTCATGTTTTGTTTAGTGAGCCAGGCAAGAGCTCAACTTTCCACTGAGCGTACAGCAGGAGTAGAAGAGGTAAACACTCGCTGGTCATGTGAACGGAGCAGCAGCAGCACTGAGAGTCAGCGCCATCAGCCTTTCTCAGCCGCAGACACAGAAACAAGTCTCCTCAGCCAATAATAGCTGTGGACGTTTCAGCTCTGAGCTCGGGTGGAGACGGCTCTCTGCAGTTTAACCGCTGATACTGAAAATCTGCTTTTTTAAACCAAAGTGGAGACAGACTGAGAAGAGATAAAACCAGATCCTTTTACCGATCACAGGCCAGAAAATCAACGCAAAGCTCAGCGTGAAAAAACCACAAACACAGTTAGTTCAGGGTGTGTGTCTCCATCCGTGTGTGTCTGTGCAAACTTTAAGAAAAGAGAAAAACTGATTCAGGACGTCAGTGATTCAGGAAATCAAAGTTTTTAAAGACTGAAAAGATTCGCAGAGTCTACAAACGTGGACGGAGGAGGACGTTTGTTTTGTCTGTTTAGATATTTAGTAGACACATAAAAACCTATTAAAGCTCCTGTCAGGGACTTTTGTTTGGTGTCTATTTTGGCGCCCCCTGTGGACAAAGCAGTCTTCACTTATTTTGCTGTTTGCATGTTTGAGAAATGACTTTTCCTTTAAAATCTCATCCTGCTGACTTTTAAAGTCGTATGGATCTTTTTTTTTGTAGTTATTGTTTCTTCAGCTGCTGGAGTGACTCCGCCCCCTTGCACCCGTTTCAGGAATAAATAATGAGGAGATGAAAGTCATCAGTCTTGTCACTGATGGTCTTGTTTGCTTTTGGATGTCATGAAAAGGCATCTACATGATTTTCTGTCTATTTTACAAACTTTAAAAAACTCCTTATTGGAGCTTTAACAACTTATGTCATTTCAGGAAACTTATTGTTGTTTTATCGTAATAATCGATGTTTGACTCCTTCAAATTTAAGAAGTTAAAAACTAAATATATTTTACAAATGTCCAAGCTCTCCAACAAATGCACAGATAAAAATAATTTTATAAAGAGACTTTTTTTAAAAGATTTTATCAGATAAAGGGGAAATTATTTAGTTCAGATGAGAAAAACAAAAACAGTTTTGGTCAAATTTTGTTAAATTTTGGGAATCTTTGTTGTCAGTCTGTGAAAAAAGATCATGTGATCAAGATTAGAGAGCAGCTGAGGTTATTCTTAAACAACAACACAAATTTATCGGGTCTATTATCCTCATTCTCCGTCTGTTTGTTGTTCCTCTCATCCGTCTGTTTTACTTTTACGTCTTTATTTGTCTCAGGCTGGTGTCTTTTAAAAACCCTCACTTAAACTCCAGGAACCTCTTCCACTGTTGCCATGCTACAAATCCACTGTTCTTAGGTGTACTGTTGTAGACATGATCCCTTTGATTTGGACCCTGAATTCGACCCCGAGTGTTTGGAAAGTGACAAACAAATTCCGGTCTGTCGGCGTGGCAACAGAAACACTTGTGGCGAGTTTTACAGGAAGCCGACCGTCTCCCGTTACCAACCAAGTTGTCTTATTCGGTTGCACACTTGGTCTTGTCTTTGTTTTGAAGTTGGGGATTGCTCCGTTACCGTAGCAACACAAGGCTTCTCCATGCTCTCAGTGACAGCCCTGCAGCTCCGACTCCAACACTCTTTCTTAATTCACGCCCCTAAACTCAACAATAAAGAGTTATCCTGTGACCTTTAGGAGACAGGGTCCAAGTCTCATTATTCACAAAAACACACGTGTGTTTAATCACAAATGAACCTTTTCTCCTCCTCTTTGTTAAAAACCTGATTTGTTTTTTTCCAGCCAGTCTGTCACATCACATCTGACTGTGTCTGTCTGATCTGTGAGGAGGGCAGATCCTCCCTGCAGAGCATGACACTGCGTTATGCAAGGTAATTTGCTCTGTTTTTTAAAGCTCTTTTATGCAAGCAGCAGGGAGGGTTACAGTCACATTAGCTCCATAATCACTTAAAGCTCAGCAGCAGCAGCAGGAGCAGCAGGAGGAGGAGCAGGAGGAGCAGGAGGAGCAGGAGGAGCAGCCCTGCAGCAGGGTCAGGATCAATTCACCACCTAATTCAATTAAACTGTAAACTGAACCTGCTCTGATGATCACTAACCTGTCATCCTATAAAGAGTCAGGACAGACACGAAGCTCGGTTTGTAAAGTGAGAAGAGTTTTGACAGATATCAGAGCGATAGAGTGATCCGATATCTAAAAGAGATTTCAGTGTCATGTTTTAGTCCGAGGACTCGAGTTTTCGTTTCTGTCTGATTTTTGGTCAAAACTTTCTCAGACAGTTTAATGATCTGACTCCAAGATGTGAAAATGTCAGTCACACTGAAAAAAAAAATTACTTCATTTATAGATAAAAATGCCAAAAACTTGATTTGAAAAGTGCAGTAAGTCCCATTTAGCTCTTGTCCGGTCTACCTCCGTTTTAAGCGCCCGTTATTCCTCCAGAGTCTCCGGTATTTACTTTGTTTTCTTGCTTGTGTCGGCAGTCGTGGCCAAAGGAGGATTCAGACAATTTTCCGAACTTTCTGGTTGGTTTCTACTGTCCGATATTGTAGCACGCTAACTTTGTTTGGGCTCCTGAACGACACGGGGGAGCGGCGTCTGCCTCACAACCAATCAGGTTAGAGGAGGTGGAGAACGGCTTTGTTTACAGTCAGAAAGAGCGGACCGCTCAAAAATGTTCAAATGTTGACGACACAGACATAAGAGAACACAGCGATATCGATATATTACCAAATAATCAATAACTAATAACTATTGACTGATATTAGAAGATTTCTTTTTTATACACCACAAAAAAAGATGCTTCTTTATCGGATTCCTGCCGACCCCACCTTTTAAATGAATTTGGATGAACTAATATTTTTTATTATCACATCCCAAGGTCGACATGAACACATGAGGAAAAGCTACCACATGTTGTCGTAGAGGAAAACTGTAAACATCTGTTATCCTGTCTTTGTATAACTTCTTCAGAAGTATTCAGCGCTGTTTTAAAGATGTATGTTTACATGTTCTGTCACCTTTTTTTCGCTCGCCTCTCTCCTCTAAAGTCGCTCTCTCGCTCTGCCTGATGGTCTGGACCCGTGTGGAATAGCTAGTAAGAGTTTTACTCTATGTGCACTCAACCACTAACCACACTAACCTCTTAAGCTGACTGAATAATAATGACGATCCTAATGCAAGTAATTACCATTAATAATTCAGAACCTGCCCTCTAATTATACCGCGGCTGAAAATGGGTTCATGCTCGGTGCCGATTCAAAGTCTGTGTCAGCGGAGAAAAATGATCAAATGTTTAATTCATCGTCAGATTCACTGACCCAGAGACGATTTGCTGAGCTCATCTGCTCTGTTTTCAGCACCGACCCGTTTTACTCTGGAATACTGAAGAGGGCTCCCGGTCCGTCAAAATGATAAAGTTCTGAGTGTGACAGAACCTCATCTGACCCAAGTTTCTTCAATCTGGAAGAAGAAGCTCACAAACCAACCAGACGGTTTTACCGATGCTATCTTTAGGGATCACAGCTGCTTTTTCTTACCCACAATGCATTTTTATTTTAGGGATATGTCTGCGGGGCGGTCCTGAGATCTGATTTAAGGTCACTGATTGGCTGTGTGATCAGAGGTGAGTCAGTTAAAGGGATATTCCGGCGTAAAATTAATTTAGGGTCAAACCCACCGTAACACCGAGTTAGACCCCCCCTCCTGAGATGAATGTTGTCGACCGCTTGCTTCTCTAGTTATACCAACTTTAGTAACGACCGCAGGATAGCAATACAGAGAGACACGCCCCCAACCAAAACGCCACTCTATAGCCACAAATAATGCTCAGAACAGCACCTAACTTCATCAACAGGACATATAGGGTCACAGACATAGTACTAGACACCAAACATCTTTTTAACTTTGACTCATTTCTTTAGCAAAGAGACTAAACACAACTCACCTACTCTCTTCCAGCAGACGCTTGTTTGTACAGAGACCTCAGGCCAGTCCATTAAGCACTACAGCGGGGTGCCGCAGCTCAAGGAAGAACATTTATGATCATTTCTTCATGGAAATACAATCAGACCGAGACGCTAAGACAGAAGATCTATTATTACAATTACTATTAGTTCAAGGAAATGATAAAGAAATGATCATAAATGTTCTTCTTTGAGCTGCGGCACCCCGCTGTAGTCCGTAATGGACTGGCCTGAGGTCTCACTACAAACTTAAAAGTCCAAACTAGCTAAAGTAAAGTCGAAAGTTACACCCTTTAAGGTATTGTGCTGCACTGATAAAGATGGACAGCATGTCAGGTCCTTAAAAGTGAAGCCAAACAGTAAAGACTCCCTGACAGAACAGGTCCAGAACTTAGAGTATGAGTGGGTCAGGCTGAACCTTACTGCTCAGAGCATGTTACAGGATTTCAGGTTAATTAAATCAAATATATTAGAGGAGACAGATCCATGTGTTAGACCCCTTCAGAAGTCAGAAACCAGCGAGGCCACCTCAGTCCAAAGGTCTGGACACGCCCCTGTCACAGACTCCAGAACCAGTTCATCACCTACAGACGGGCGAGTTCATGTGTGGCCGTCCAACAAGAATAATCCCTCAACACAAACTTCTAAACCAGAGGTGAACGATGATCCTAAAAACAACAAACATGACGGGTGATGATTACAGAGGACTGATTTACTGTCAGAGGAGACTTCTGAGAGGAGAGTTACACAGATTAGAGATTAGAGATTAAACTAAAGAGCAGAAGTCAGATTAAATCTATATCATGTTAATTTAACACGATACAACATTAAAGTACAAAGTTAAAGGGTTATTCCACCTAAATAATAAATCCACAAAATGGTAGTTAAGGTACAAGAAAGGAAACGGTTAACTGACATGAAACCCAGTCTTCTTTAAAACCACATGATCCGGATCACTTAAAAGAGGCCTAGTTTCCTCCATTTGGAGCATCTATGTGTGTGTGTGTGTTAGTGTGTTAGTGTGTATATGTGTGTGTGTGATCCTCTACCTTAGCCCGTCTAAACGTGTTTTGACCTCGTATTGTGCGTCCCACAAAGACTTCTGTATGTCAACATGTGTTAAACAAATAAAACACACGAACAGAGAGGCCAGCTGCCCAAAAGAACGGCTCCACATGTCCTCATTTCACATGTTCCTGCTCTTATCAGATGTCATACACACACATCAGATAACACACAGAGGATATGAGCTGTCTCCTATTTGTCCAACAGTGTTTTCATGTTGTGGTTTTGTCTGCTCGCTCTACATGACCTTGAACTGCAGCGCCACAGTCACATAATCTGATGACAGGATGAGCGGCCCTGGAGCTGGGTGACTGTTTGAGAGCGCCCTGAGGACCCAGACTGTGAGTGACTGTGCAGAGGAGCTCCCCCAAATATCTGCCATCTTCACAGTCGTGCGCCCTCAGAAATATAACTGGATAGATCTAACAATAGAGGATGAGAAAGGTGACGGTAACTGGGAGTTTCTTTAACACGGATATCGCACATTTACAAATGAGTTTGATCAAAATAAAAGAGAAAAAAGGTGTTTGATGCTTAAAACCCCCTGAAAAAGGACCTCCAGACCCCCTTTTTCTCTAACCAGCACCTTGTCAATGTCCTGTGTATTTGTGAAATAATCTCAGTTAAATTTTAACGAATATATCAGGAAATAAGAGGCTCTATTTTTAAACCTCCGAAGGTTTCAGCCTCTCCTTTATCGTTGGAAAACTTGAACTTAATCCCAGCCTCAGCTCCGATTTCTTTAATCATCTAAAACTCCATGTTTCGTCTCCGTATTTCGGCCCACTCTCAGGTTTGTACTGTACGCCATGGCTGCGGGGTATTGTGTGTACAGTGTGGTATCTACAGTGTTAATGTTGTGTGCCAAGAGCTGTATGGAACAGCGAGGGTCTGGTGTTGTCATTAATTCTTAATGGCAGGCTGAAACGCCAATCACTGTGTTTTCAGCAGCTGCTGGGCTCACAATTACAGAATGCAGTCACAGACACCGGGTTGGGCTGGTGTGCAATTAGCTGCTAACATCTGATAGGGTTACAAGTCACAAGTCACCGCAAACAACTGCCCTGGATACAAAACACAGGAGAGTGGTGAGGACGCTAACATGTGAAAAACAGACTTTTATAACTTTGTCCAAACACATGACGGAATCATTTACTCTTTACTTTGTTTATTTTCCAATTCAACACCTGAATGCTGTCGAAAAAAGGACTTGCTAAGTCTGAGTGACCAAATAATGAAGCTATATCTTTAACTTCACTTCTTCTGTCCTTTTAAATAATGTTAACACATACACATATATCTAATATTATTTTATCATAACTTAGTTAAGAGCAATTACAGTATATTCAGTCATCAACCTGCAATTGCTATTCATGTCCACCAGGGGTGCTGCTGAGCAAGACTTCGATTTTATTATTCTATTATATCACGTCAGTAATTTGATTTTCTCAGCTGCATGTATAAGCAGACAATGAGAGAAGTCTGATTCTGTGAAAAAAAAAACAAATTATGAGCTTAGTCCGATTAAACCGTGACTGTAAACGCACTGACTGTTGTTTACATGTTATTGCCGTTTTTGGCCACAGGGGTCACTGTTGAGCAAAATGCTGCATCTTAGATTCAGCAGTAAAACAGTCTTTAAGGTTTTTAACTTATATAATAATAATAATAATAATAATAATAGCACTTCTATTTAAACATCCATTACAATAAAGTAGACACAATGACAAAAACAACAATAACAGACTAAACACAACCAAATCAGCGCTAACTTAACTGATATCTAATGAGGCTTACTGAGCACTTTAAATGACTTCATAGTTTCAGTACATTGTTGTGTTGTTGTCAGTAAGCTATATGTGACTTTAGGCTTAGTCTGGATGTGTCTTAAAACCTTTTTTGATCTTTGAATATCTAAAATGTTTGCCTAACTTGGTCTTGGAGCTAAAACCTTCAATATCAGTGGAATGAAATGTAATGAAAAAAAATTCAGTGGAGCTGAGTGAAAATGAAATCATCAAAACAGAGTGACTGTACATGACGGCCGCGTAATAAAGTGGGTAAAGAGAGCTGGGGGTGTTGATGTTTCAGGCCTTATGTGGCAGGAGTAATGAGCAGCAGCACAAATGAAAGTACCATAAACTTAAAATGCCTGAAGCGTCCCTGAAATGACAACCTCCAGAAATGAGCAGCAGGGTTTCAGATTTGGACAGAAGCTTATTTTTCATCCTTCTCTGCTTGGATACTGAAAACTTCACATTTGGACTTATTACTCGGGTAAAAACCTGCTCAGGTTCAGACTTCACTCAATCAGTTTTTCTCTGAATCTGTTGGAAATAATACAGACGATATTCAGGCTGCTGTAATGAGGTTTAAAACTGACACCACCATTTCTCTCAGACAGTCTCGTATAATTTAATTATCATGTGATTTTACATCCAACAACTTAAAAACCATAAAAGACGAGATTAAAGAAGATGATATAGAGATGTGAGGTTAAAAATGCAGGGGCGGATCTAGACCTTTTAGACTGGGGTGGCCAACCTGAGGCACAGACTGACAGTTATTTCCCTTTTCTGTGTGACCACAAACACCTGAATGACCTGCACCAAATAGGTGTTATAATAATTCTATATATATGTCTGTGTGAAGCTTAACAAAAGACAACATAAAGAAATACTCTCTGCTAAATATATATATATGTAAACAAACAAACGAACTAACAGTACAAACATATTTCAAAGCAGATACTACAAACAGCCTCAATAGTTCATTCATACTGAAGTCCCACCTCTGACACGGCCTGATAGCCAATCACAGTTCAAGATTTTGGGGCGGCCATGGCTCACCCTGCCCCCCCCCCCCGACTCTGCCGCTGTAAACACAATCTTCTGTGGTCTCCATCAGCGTCATATAATCTGACTGTAACTGTAGTCTGAGAGTTTACAACAAAATTATCTCAAATCACAGAATTGATCTCATTAAATAGATAAAAATACATGGACTTTTTGTACCTTTTGGATGATGGCCTTGCTTTGTGCTATTTTTATACCCTTTAGCGCCCAAAGTGGTGAAACAAATGTTTATTTATTTACCAATTCTGGGACATTAGATTAGAGTAGATTAGATCAGATATAACTTTATTTATCCTTTGGGAAGGTTCCCTGAAGGAAATGAACATATTACAAACACAGGTCTACATGAAGACATGAATATGAGATATGATTGATATTATTTTTGAATATTATATCATTTCAATATTTGGAAACATTATTCCACACTGTTGTTTTATCATGTTAGTAAAGTCTCTGTGTTTTGGACTTGCATCTCAAAATACCATGACCTGGTTTATCCTCCTTCTCCGATCTCATAATAGTAGTCCTAACATTTCAAATTATCTCATTATTCAGTTTTTATGAATTTGTGTTTCTATCTTGTATATAAAGAGATAAAACTAGGTAATTTACTTTATTAGTACTTTCAAAAACTGTGGGAGCTTCTAGTTTATGTAGATGAATTTTATACATGACAACAGGTCAACAAATGCAAATTAATGTCTATCTATGTTACAGGACTAATTGGGATCATTTCCCTTTGCAAGTTGCACACTTTAAACTAATTTAGCTTATACTGTTACATATGATCCAAACTTTTTTCATAACTCTGTCTTAAAGCCTTGATTAAGTTTCCTCTTTATTATCTCTGTATATTAGTGTCCTCAGAGTTTCAGCCTACCTGTTGTTCTGAATACAGGGTCTATATGAGCAGGCCTGTGTCAGATCATAATCCAACATTAATTTGTGATATTTCCCCTCATCCTGAGCCTTCAGCAGAGCTCTCTCTCTCTCTCTCTGCTCCATCAGGACTCTCTATCAAACACAGATTCTCGCCTAACTTCATCCCAGCAGATTAATCCTCAGATCAAACAGGCTGATCTTCATTCAACATGACAACTTTCCCCCTGCCTGCAGTAAACCAAAGTTTCCAGAGCTGACCTCAGGCTGACTCCCTCTCTCTCTCTCTCTCTCTCCCTCTCTCTCTCTCTCTCTTACCTATGGTGGTGATCACAGTGATGGCGAAGTAAAAGGAGCCGGCGAACCTCCACTGCACCCCGGCTTTGTGCGGCTTGAGCTGCAGCACCACCTTCTCCAGCTCGTCGAAGTCCTCCGAGGTCAGGTTGAAGGTGTGGAGCAGCTCCGCTTTGCGCAGGTTCAGCTTGCTCAGCTGGCTCGTCTCCTTCTGGGACTCCAGCGCGTCAAAGATCGCCGCTCCGACCAGCAGGTAGGTGAAGGTGCAGAGGATGAGGGTGAGGGTCCGCACGTTCTGCCTCTTCATGGTGCCGCCGGTTCGGTGTGAGTCAGGGGGACGGGCGGAGAGAGTGCGCGGGTCTGGAGGACGGGGAGCTCGGCTGGCTCATGGCTGGTTCTGACGGAGGAGCAGAGGAGCTCTCTGATGACTTTATGAGGAGCCGAGGAGCTGTTCATTCAGCACCACCCTCCCTCTCTCTCTCTCCCCCTCTCTCTCTCTCACCTCCCTGTCTCTCTCCCATCAGAGGAATCCTCCCCCTTTCCCCATCCATCCATCCATCCTCCTTCTCTCTCTCTCTCTCTCTCTCTCTCTCTCTCTCTCTCTCTCTCTCTCTCTCATGTCAGAGGAAACTGTGTGAACATTCAGGTAACACTTTACAATAACCATGACTTATAAATGGTAAATAGATTTAGTTTATTAATGTTTAATCATCATTTATAAATAGCATAAAGACTATTAATAAATTGTAAATTTTACAATATAAAAAACCATAACCCTAACTTTACAAGAAACATCTAAGTAATGTTTATAGATGGTTTAAAAACCAAATATTAAACATTTACAAAGTGCTCCTGATGCACATTTTAATATAGATGTTTTACAACCAACATTTAAACCCTACATAAACCTTTAATAAATAGTCCATTAATTACTAATGACAACAAATAATCATAATTCCATAAAGTAACTATTAACTTACATCAATAAACTATGGATTTGCCATTTATAATTGGTCTATATGCTGTTTTTAAATGATGATTAAACACCATTGGATGGATAGATAAATACTTAATTAATCCCAGTTGGGAAATTCAGGGCTCATGCTACTCACAGACTCATACACAGTACACTAACAACGACAACAAACAACAACAAATGCACCTCTGCAGACCAGCCAAGTACGGTAAAATCAGTTAAAACCAGTATAAAAAGTGCAATAACTGCAGTAGTGCGAGCAGTGCAGTATGTATATAGTGCTGAGGTGAACAGGTCCTTGACTCAGGTCTGATGGCTGCTGGAAGAAAGATGGACAGACGGATCAGGAGTAAGCAATTAAACTATCTATTTACCATTTATAAATGATGTTTATTGTAAAGTGTTACCAACATTCACTCTCTTTAATGGACCTTTTTATTGTACTTTTCTAAATGATTAATATTAAATAAAGCTTTAAACAGTCTATTCAGTTTAACCTCCATGTCAGAGGCTGACAGGAGAGTTACATATCAAATAGGGGAGACCGGGGTAAGATGAGACATTGTTCATATTTCAGATCACCATGTCAAGTCAATCATAGTTTTATCTCTAACAAGTGTATCTGCATATATTTCTTTTTTTTATTGCAAACATTTAACAAGACATGCTAAGGAGTGAAGTGCAATATGAATAAAAATAGAAATAAGAAAAAACAAATTAAAAAAACAACACAAACGAGACAGTAACAAGAGACAAAAACAACAAAAAAATGATACTGGTACATTGGCAAAAAAGGCAAGCAGAGCAAAAACACAAAACAGGAGTAGGGAGGATCAGTCACAACTGTTGAAAATGTCTGGTGAGGAATATTGTCGATTGATTGTGTGGATAAGTTCAGTGTAACTTACCCTTTGGCTCAACGTACCCCACTCTCCCCTATAATACTTCATCTCTTTGGTGCAACATGTTTTTAGATCCGTAATTCTTATAAAAGTAATAATACTTAACAAAAACAGTCCGTCTGAGTTTATCAGTGGAACTGTCAGTGCATGCACAGATACTTTTCTAGACTTCTCATTATTCAGAAGCAAACTGCTTTGGGCCGTTTGGAGATGATGTAATCAGAGAGTTTCTTACAAAGTCCTCTCAGCTCCGTCTCCTGCAGTTACTTTAAAACAGCTTTATTTACCACCGACCATCTGAATAACCGGAATAGAAGATCTTCCTGTAAACACCTCTCAGAAAAGATCGGTCAGATCCGACTCAATCAGAGAGGTTTATACCATCTGATATTCAGACCTTCATTCCTGATCGTTCCCTCGTTCCTTCTGCTCATTTCTGCTCCAAACGACATGTTTGTTATTTCACATGTATTATGACGGGTACTAATTCTTTCAGCTTTACTTAATAACCGTCTCTTCCTGTCTGTCACTTAGAAAAGGAAACCCACAGCAGCGCTCACTCCCAGTATTTCTAACTTTAACCTCGTGCACATTTGTCCCAAACTCTAAGTGGATTACTTTTGGGGGAACACTGAGCTCAGGGCAGCAGGGGGTAAAAAAAAACTCTGTTCTTGAGGGTTTTTGTTTTCCTTGGTGATGCTTTCAACATGACTCACCAACAAAACTGCTCCAGAATCCAGAAGTGACTTCAGCTCCAAGACAAACTTAAAACGTTTGCCCTTTGACCCCATCTTTCCCCTGCGCACCGAGGCATTACCAGAAGCATTTTCTCAAAGTAGTGCGTAAATAAACCTCGTATGAAAGTTTCCAACCTTGTTAAAATATCGTGTGTTTACTCTTCCTGACAATCGAGCTGACGTATGGACGTGTGGAGTGAGTTTTGTGTGTATTTACATAAGAAGAGAAGCATATGATGATGATGATGATTAGACGTAGAGAGACAAAATGTCAAGTGAAAATCGAACTGGGGCCAACTACGATGACCTTCAGTGTCACTGGTTTCCAGTCGGTGTTTCCCCGGATGCTGTGCCCTTCAGTGGGAAGTCTAGACACAAGTGGCAAAGTTGCGGCGATTTTGATCGTATGTGAAAGGTTTTTATTCACCGTCGTTGTAGTTCTTCCTCACAAACAGAAGATATTTTCAACCTCTTAGTTGATTTATGAGACAGAAAGCTTCGATTTAATGCCTCTGAGGGATAAAAAGGGTACTCAGAATTACAACCATGTCAGTGCAGCCTATTATAAATCTATAGGCGTACTTCCTCCACCCTCCTGTGACATCTGCTTGTCCCTCACCTGCTCCATCATTGACCAATAGGACCTGGACAGTCTTTGCACGCTGTGAGCTGGACCCAAAAATAACTCTGGCTTCAATAACCAGGTCAGTCAAGTGAACCGTGACTGAGCCTGCATAAATCCTCCCTTCACAAACTGAAGTGCTGCAAGCCTCAGCCCGATCAATACGTCAATTAATCCATGACACTTTGATCAAAAAGGCCGCCTTTCATAAAAAAAAAGCTCTTTGTGAGGAAAAAAAAAACCCAGAGACAGAATAAACAGCAGATCTACACCCTGAATTTAGTCAATATGAGGTTTTGATTTATTCATGTGACTAAATCATATATTTATGAGAGGATGCTTAAAGTGCTGTTTTCACTCTATCAAGATAAAAAGATGATCACTCTGAATCAGTGTCAATAAAAGTCTATGATATACAGGATTTAGAGTGTGTATATCAGGCTTTGGTGAGAGAACTCAAAAACAGCTGATTGACTTTTCATGATTTTAGACGGTGACTCATCAGATTCATACACAAGTTTTCTTCTTGAGTCAGGCTCTGCTGTGTATCAGGACAACCTTAGATAAGCAGTGAATTGGTGCCACAAAAATTAAGATTAATCGATATATGATATGGTAAATTGTACGGCTGCAAGATTGTGGCCAAAAAAAAAAATCTGTTTTTTTTTTTCTCTGAAAACCTGATTTTTAATTTTGTTTTTTTTTGTGGTTTGTTTATGGTCTGAGGAGCCATAAACAAACCACAACCAAACCTCCACTCTATAGCCACAAATAATGCTCAGAACAGCACCTAACTTCATCAACAGGACATATAGGGTCACAGCCATAGTACTAGACACCAAACATCTTTTTTAACTTTGACTCATTTCTTTAACAAAGAGACTAAACACAACTCACCTACTCTCTTCCAGCAGACGCTTGTTTGTACAGAGACCTCCGGGCGAGTCCATCAACTGCAGCGGGGTGACGCAGCAAAAAACTGATTTGACAATTTTAATTTTTTTAACATCGAATAATCAAAAATTACAATTACAATTAAAATCAATTAATTGTGCAACCCTAGTATCTTGTTATCGTGGTGTGATACTTTCTGTTAGTGTTGACTGTTGTGTTATATTAGCTAGCAAGTTTTCAGATGTCATATACAGCTGGTTTTGACTCTTTTTCAAACTCTGATGTATTTTGGTTGGTGAGTAAATCAGGAGTAGGATTATCAGGTAAATGTAAACCCCACAGATGAATTATTAATTTTAGATATGATCTGTTTGGTTGTACTTGAGGAGCCTGCAGAGTAGTTTAGCCAAAGCCACTGTGGTCACATGTATAAAGGAAACAAAAATGGCCGATGTTTATAAACCGCATTAAACATCACATGTCACATTCAACCATCCACACCCTGATGGCTGAAGCTGCTATATATACAGCCAATCAGTGAGCAGTGTTCTGCTGTGTGTGTGTGTGTGTGTGTGTGTGTGTGTGTGTGTGTGTGTGTGTGTGTGTGTGTGTGTGTGTGTGTGTCTCCTCAGGTTGGTTGAAATGAGACGCTCGGTCTCAGCTGTAGAGTCCAGCAGACCTGCAGGCCTTCAGCTGCAGGCGGCTCAGCTCTCTGCGTTCCCTCCACTGCGTAATCACCAATACATCCTCAAGAGCCGCGGCACTTCCTGTGGCCACTGACCCATCAGAGCAAATTTTCCAGTGGCAGGTTCTGACCCCCGGCTGTTTAAGCAGGGGATCGAGTCTGGACCCTCATTACTACAATTTGGAGAGGCTGCCGAGTCCCCACCGAGGAGGTCACAGATTTGATGGACTTTAAACCTCGTCAGTGTCCAAAACTGGAACCTTTAAAAAGATCCCACAGGTCAGAGTCCTTAACAATAAATAAATAAAACACGTACATATATCTCTTTAGTAATGTGACTTTTAACTGAGACTAACCAGCTCAGGTAAACATGGATGTAATGAGAGTCACGGTGTATTCACTCTGCATCTCTTAGCTGTGATTTCGCCGTGATTCATCCTCTCCTGTGGCCTTCAGTTTGATGACATACTCTTTGAAACATGTCCTCTGTGATATGCAAAGACAGCCGGATAATACGGCAGTCAGCAGAAAGATCAAGAGGGGAAACAATGCACACGGGCAGGTCGCCGGGCTCCATGCGTGACTGCAGCCCAGCTGGAGGAGGTTACAGGACCGAACAGCCGAGTCTGTGAACCCTATCTTTACTTTAAAGTGGAGAAATGATGGACAGATCAGA